GAGCTCTTCAATCTGACCGTACACCCACGGCACGCTGCTTTCACTGCCTCCTCTACAGAAGGGTGTCTGTATTATTAGCCCATGTGACCGCGCAGCTAATCCCACTGTTCCCTCTCCACAACGTGTCAAAGCCATTACCCCCTGGAATGGATCAAGGTAAGTGTGCTGATCCAGGGGAAGCCGAGGCACAACAAAGTCAATTTAATCTGAGCTTGTCTGAGCCATATGGCAGCAGTGACATGTCTGACATCCATCTGCTACTTACTGGGTGTTGTTTATGTTTAGATTCACTAATGTATGTTTCAGTACTGACACCAAAACGATCCAATTTTAAAAGCTTACTTTGATGCCAACATGTTTCTTTACAATAACGGTCATGGCTAGATGTTTATCCTAGATTTGACAAACTCTTGCAAGATGTTCAAGTCTCGGGCACAGACAAGGACTACTGTCCTGGAAAGACCCAAAAAACCTGACTGCAATCACCAAAAAAGCCCCACATGCTAATGTCGAAACACAGCAGCATTTTGGGGCGGAACAAGCGTCATGACTCATACAACATAATCTTATGAGGTTATAATGGCTAAATTGTTAGGCAGCAGTTGCCTATTTACACATCAAAAAGTCACAGCACAATATTAGAGTTAATTTATAGTCATATTATTGAATCAATTGAATGAATGAATTGTACGACAATATTCACTCTACTTTAAGGCGAGACACGGCAGGCAAAAACATCGTTTTTCAAGTACTGGTCAATTTTGAGATTTTGTGCTATTTTGATTCTATAACATGTTTTCTTTCAGGCTTTTGGAAGGAAAACGTACAAAATACACATTTAAGTGTTTATTTTACTATAGTTTGTCTATTTGCGTCTGTAGATTTCTCCTAAATTCACCAAAAGTTAGCATTCTAACGTAACATAAAGTACCGCGACCGCTGTGTGCAGCATGTCAACAGAGGTATCGCTGGAAAGCTCCGTCTCTCCTGCACAATCTCATCGGATCCAAATATGATCATTTCCTTTGTATCAGCAACCAATCGTGAAAGCACAAAGGGGGTCTAAACCAAGAAACAAAATCTCATTGGCTGGTGTCAATTTCTGACAACGTGATTCGTTCAGATGCGTCACGTGGTGTGCTAAAACACTTCCTGGTTAGCTTTCAGCTAGAAATTGAAATCTCAAAATGCCAAAAGAACGGCGAAAAAAACGTTCACAGAGAAGAGAACAACAATTGTCACTTGCACGAAGCAAGGTTATAAACCAAAAAATGACCCTGAACATGAAATACCTTCACGGAGTGCGTCGATGCGCAAGCTGTCATCCAAAGAACAGGAGGGTTTAGCTAGCGCCTCACTGCAATCTTTAAAGGTCGTTTTCTCAAAATGAGTTTTTTCTCCTACTCTGAGTTCGAAATTTCAACTTCAGTAGCACGTACATACACCAAACCTTCCAGTTAGATTCCTATCAATATTATGAAGGCTTTTACAGAAGGGTTTGTTCATATATATAATTCATAGCCTGAATTATACAACATTGTATACCTAAAAACATGGCGAAAATGGATATTTTAGGGCTGTTGACAGTATTTTCTGATTTATGGAGTGATAAAAAGAGATATCCAATATCCCTTCTGTAAAAGCCTTAGATACTAATATGACTACAAAATGAAACAAGAATTTTGAATCTGGCTATATCCAAAGTTCAGATTTCGATTCCTGAAATGTGTTAAAATATGTGCATATCTAATGAGCTAATGGTTAATTTGCATATTTAAACATACTATTTCAGAACAGTTGTAATACAAAATACAATTGCCTTATTGTAAGTAAGTAACTGGAGAAATTTCTAGCTGATACCTTTAAGTTACAAAAATTACCCTATTCACCTGGGGTGTCTCGCCTTAAGCTCTGAGGAGCCCAAATACCAAGGGAAATATGTGGCTGGTTAGCCCAATGTTACGCTATGTTTCCTAGCACGTTGTTAACTCTGCCTGTCTGCTGGTCACGCAGTTTACAGTTGGTTTATAATGAGTTTTATTTTTTACAAAAAACAGCTTCTTGCTATTTCTAAAAACAGGGTTCATGAACCCTGTTTTTAGAAATGACATCCATCCTCCACAGCAGCCAGCAATGCAGCCTGAGGTGAAATGGCAGTTGGGACATTTGATGGACAGTTGGACAGTTAAAAAATGATACATTTGAAATAACTCAACCGTGATTGGGCAGGACAGTGGATACACTAATGTGTTGATTATGTGCATTTTTTTCCTTCTATGTACACACATGTGTGTGTGTAAAATAGTTCAGAAATGACACTGAGTGTGTTGAATTGCCTTTGACACAGCAGTGTGTTAAAACAATTACACATTCATTCTAGGAGTGTAATACTTTTACTAACACTATATATAGTAACAATATGCATTCATTATGACAATAGCATGCTATTAGGAGTGTTCTATAGTGTGTTCAAAAAACAACTATAGAAACACTATATTATACTATAGTAGTACTATTTAAAAATAATATAGGAATACTACAAAGATCTAGATACATAGTATTATAATTGAAATATTATAGAGAAGGTTTGAAGGTTTCAACACTTCCGGCTCTTTTTCTTCCCATAAATGCCATAATCGTCCCCATCTTCCAGTTTTGTCTGTAGTGTTAGATGAGGGGGAAGCACATAAGAGCCCATTGTTGATGTAGTGGAGTGTCAGCTGGAGCAGCCTCGCCTGATGTCTGTCTGCAGCTGGTGTGAAGCAGCAGAGGCACAGAGACACAGGGAGACAGCTGGATACAGAACGACCCCCCCCCCCCCCCCCCACACACACACACACACACACACACACACACACACACACACACACACACACACACACACACACACACACACACACACACACACACACACACACACACACACACACACACACACACACACACACACACACACACACACACACACACACACACACACACACACACACACCAGTTCCTCGCTCTGCCTCGGGTTAAAGCCGAGAAGCTGGAAGTGTCTGAGACCTCCCCTGAGACGAAACACTGGAAAGGAGCACTGCATTTTATTCCATTCTATTTCTATGCTATATTTGATTTTATATGTTATTATAGTTTTCCTAAAATAGTGTTTTTTTAATTTTTGTTTTACTTTTATGTATGCACCATGACATCAAGTTAAATTCCTCGTACGAGTCGACCTACCTGGTAATAAACCCGTTTCTGATTCTGAGAGCAAGTGAAACTGCTCCACTGCGGCCTTCATAAAGAGGCATGCAGGATATTTGGTGGTGGAAAAAATGTAGGAAGGAAGACGGAGTGGAAAAGGAGGTGAAGGGTTTCAGCGTAATCTACATGTGTACAGCAGACTTCTAAAACACTAGGCCCACAGGGAGGGTTGGGTGCTATAAACACCGGCTTGTCATACAGAGGGAGAACAGGTTTATAACCCATAATGGGTGTGACAGCTTTTAAAGACTGGTTTGGGCGGTTCTCGGCTTAAGGACACGGAAAACCAGCCGAGCAACACAGCAGGCGGTGGGAACAGAAAGGCTCTGCAGCACCAGAGGCAACCTAAAAGCAGATCATGTCCTCATAAAGAGCTCTCATCAGCTCTGCATTTATTCATACTGGATAAAAAAAACTGGGATGTAGCCAGTTATTTTTCCAAGTATAATCTGCCTCCTTAAATGCAACGCAGACTATTTATATGTAAAGAATGTATTTTTGTGTTTCAATAGTCGTCCTAAGCCACTGGGCAACACGCCTGTTGTTCAGAGCAATTAGGTGTTCATTAGAGTTCATGGAACTTTCTTTAAACCGCATTTCATGAATTGAATTGGCTGAACAGACGTTCAATTACTCGATTTAACAGATTTGAGTTTAAATCCTGTGTTTTCCTGCACTCAGGTTTTTTCACTTGATTAAATTCCCTGAGATGTTGCAGAGTCTTTACATTACTTTTAAAGGAGTCATTCTTCGTTCACCCTCCTGTTGTCTTCGGGTCAAATCTGACCGATTTACAACTTTCATCAATCATAACTTTTTTGTTTTACATTCGATTGCATTAAAGCTTTATGATATCCTTCACAGTAGACCTTTGAACATATACAATTGCTGATCACCACTTTCATTGCATTTTGGATGATTTAGTCAACTTTGTAACACCACGGTGTTCCCGGGCAAAAAAATGACCGCCATAAAGAAAAGGAATTAGTAACCATCCGGATCAGATAAAACACACATACTCTAGATGTGTGTGTCCCCCCCTTATGTGCCCAATCCCCCCACATGAATCACACCTGGCACACTCAGTACATGTTCAGTGTCTATTCTTTGTATATTTACTGCAGTTTTTCATGTATACCAGAAGTCTGACACAATATGTACAGTTTGAAAGGGTGTTGAATGAAGTTGGTGATGATTAATGGTTTTTGTGTTAATGTAATAGCAGTTAAAACAGGACCGACCGCGAACACCAAAGTAAGGGGGGAAACGAAGACAAAAGGAGGGTTAAATGACCATTTGTTTGATCAGATACTGCTCATGAGTGTCCTTCGATACCTAAAGAAATCGAATGCCTGCTCGTCAAATTAAGTATCCAACATCAGAAACAAATAACTGCGGATTTGAGGTAAACCTTATAATTTTTGACAAAAGTAAAACTATGTCAAAACATCAAACTCTCACAAAGACTGTGCAGTATTTCACAAGTCTCCTTTATTCAGGCCTGTGCTTAGCAGCACGTGCATTTTCATTAAAACCACACATGATAAACGAATGGCGCGCCTTTGCAAGCGCAACGCTTTTTATGCAGAAGTGTAAAAAAATGCACAAGTTGTGAGAGTTTGTAAAAAGATGCTTTCATAGTGTTTTACTTAACTGCACTTCCAGTTTGATTCTTCGTTCTCTGAAAAACAAAACGGTAATCTTGCGGGCGAAGTATATATTTTATAAATATGAGTGAAGACAGACTAAACTGATCTAAATGCTGATTTTTTTTATTCAAACAAATGCAATTGTACAAATGACTAAGAACCAGCTTAACAACCATTGTTTTCACTATATATTACATGCTTTTCAAATACATACAAATGCTCTAAAAAAAGACGGAACCAGTGTATTTACAAAACCAACATTTACATACGGCTTCATTCTTGTGAGAAATTAGGAGCACCAGTCCATGATTTCCAGCATGGATGAAAATAACCATGTTCAAATAAACAAGTCTTCCTGCAGCGACTGATCAGATGTGGCAGTGATCTTTAAGTGTGGGTAATACTCCGAATGGTGACAAGTATTTGGCTCATTTGTATTGCAAGTACTGACAGTGAGAATACTTTGGAAATGACAAACAAAGAGTATGGTGGGTGTTAGTAACAAGCTACAATACAACTGGCTCTGCAGAGTGTTCCAGGAAGTAGCCATCACCTTTTGACTCATTCATAACGAGTTCAATCCTTCATTTTTTTGATAATGTCCTTATCGCTCCTTGTCCGATCCTTCATGGTTACAGTGTTCATACATGTGTGTAGCGGAGGGTTGTTCGCAGCGGCTCAGTAATCCTCGCTTTGTAAAGTTCACTTTCCCTTTGTCTCCACCACACAGTCCACAGCAGGTACAGTTTCAGTGCATCACCACCACCACAAGCACTCCCAATCCAGACACGAAGACGCTCCCGTGGGCTTTTTTGTTCGGTACGATCACAGCGTTGTGGGTCAGTTTGGCAACAGATTCCTTTACTCTCACGAAAGTTAAGTTCCTTCATTCTTTGGATCCTCGCGTACAGAGAAAAACAGGTAAGTGCAGTCTAAGGCACAATGACAGCTTGTCAAGGTGTATGAATTCAAACGATGATGACAGACGGCGACTACACTATTGTTCCCGGTTTTGAATCTTCGTGCCAGTGTATCTTATCGTCCGGCTCTGGGTTCGTGTGCATTTGGTCACTGACATGCGGGTCCATTTGGTTGACATCTATGTAGGATCTGGAAGAAACAGACAAGATGAAACACATTAGACAGATGGAAAAGGGAATGTCGATTGTGATTGGTTAAGAATGGATTGACCCTGGGCTGTCAACATTGTCTTATTTTATTCTAGCTTTTAAGTGTCAAGATTAAGAAACTAGAGCTGCAACAAATTGTTTCAACTATCAAAAAATCTGCCTTTTATTTTAAGGATTAATCGAATGTTCAATAAAATGTCAGAAAATTGTGAAAAATGCTCATCTCAAAGTATGTCTTGTTTTTTCAATTCAATATCCAAGTATATTCACTTTACTGTGATACAAAACTGAGACAAGCAAGACATCTTTGTATTCGAGATATTTTCTGCCATTTTAGTGGAAGATTTAAGGACTAATCAAACCGAAATAGTTGTTGATCATGTTCCGTCTACAGGACACTAAACTAAGAGAAATAAGACGCACTCTGGTTTGTGTCAGGCGTGTTGTTATCAATCTCAGTTTCAGACAGATGTCAAACCCAGGGTCAATCATTCTCACCGTACAGCACAGCAGATGCATGCAGGCATTGAACACAAGCATAGCCTTTGAATTTCAGGGGTCACATGTTCCTCCTCTGCCACACAAGTGCTCTCCCACCACCACAAAACACCCAGGGAAACACAGCAAATCTGAAATGTGAGATGATTTCGGTTAGTCCCTGCCACACTGCCACAGATATCCAAAAACACATCACCGTCACCATGAGGGGGAGTTTTTACCCTCTCGTCTCTCACCCTTTCTGCTGTGCTGGGACTGATAATGGGAGGGGACAGGGGGGGGTTTATTTCTCTTGTTTGGTAGCATAGGCAACATCACCACGCCACTCTAAAGGCCGTGCAGGGAACGCCATCCTACCACGGCTCCGCCTCTCAAACTCTGGGGGACATCTGCGCATGAGAGGGGGCAAAGGTCAAGGGTGAGCGGTGTAATGACACTTTTTGGAACACAAGGCGAAACACTGGAGAGCTCGAACTGATGTCAGACACTGAAGAGTCATTGGAAGTGGTGGCCAGAACATTGAGAAAGACATTAGCAGCAAAGAAGTGATACAGCTCCTACCATTTGTGAAAAAGCTCTCTCACCCAGTCTCGAGTATTTAGCTAGTTCTAAGAGAATAATCAACATTTGATAACCAGTCAAAGCAGGCTCTGTTCCCAGCAGGGAGTGATGGGAGCTATCCACCTGATAAGATGGACGCCAAGATGTCCTCACTGCTCTCTGACACGGTTTGTCCTGGTATTATCTGAAGAATGTGTTATGAATGTTTTGGGCAAGCCGACTCAACTATCTGGGTCATAACTGTACACAGCTCTGGGAAAACAGCTTCCCACTGATATCAGGACAGTGGAGAGACTACATATCTTCCATTGCAAACTGAAGACCCACCTGTTTCGCTTGACCTAAGCAGCAGTACAGAACAACCATGTTTGAAGTGAATATTTCAGGACTGTTGTTCTTGTCCTTAGTTTGAATCTTATGGTTTATTTGCACTTATCGTAGGGCTGTGCAATTAATCGTATTTTAATCTCGATTACGATTTTGTCTTGCAACGATTACGAAAACAACGTAATCGAAATAAAACGATTATTATTTGTATAAATCTTTTATTTAATATTGGTTTTTTAGTTGAATTATACTTGAAGTTCAGGGTAATCAACTGTTAAAAACATACTGCTACTTTTTTTTTCAATAAATTGATGTTTTCAAAGTAAATGGATAATCGTTAATAAATCGTGATATCAATTATTGACCAAAAATAATCGTGATTATGATTTTTGCCATAAATTCACAGCCCTAACTTATCGTACATCTCTTTGGATAAAGGCGTCAGCTAAAATCAATGACATAATAGTTAAAGAATGACAAAGCTCCGAGGCGGTTTGTATGAGGCAGGGGAGTGAGAGGAAAGGCAATAGCTAAGATGACTAGAACTAAAAGCCATGTATACAATGTGTGGGCCGAGAGGAAGGCAAACTATGTTGAGAGAAATGTGACCACTGTGACAACAAAAGCCGGCTGGAAGAGGAAGTAAGGCAGGCATGTTTTTTTATAAAGAAGCCAAGCCATGCAGTTACCTTATCATACATGACAATGAGCGATCAGTCAAACACACTTCAAAACACGGACAAGCAAGACTATGGAGTCACGTTGCAGACAAAGTGAACGACGCGCAGGCTCCGGGCGTTTCCGTCTACTTACTATGAACTACCTTTAGCAAAGGACACCTTACTGAGCCTGTGCCCTCTGGAGGAGTTTGGTCGTGAAGGGCTGGAGGAAAGCTGCCTCTCCCGACACCCGGGGGAGTAGGAGGAGGAGGAAGAGGAGGGATAGGAGGAAGAGGGCGGAGAGGAGGAGGAAGAGCTAGCAGGGAAAAGGGCACAGCGCCTCTGGCCTTCGGGGCTGAGCCAGGAGCCTTTTAAAAGCTGGGAGGCGCCATATCTATAAGAAAGCAGGCCCGGTGGACAGTTAGGAAGGAGAAGAAGTCTTAAGCTCCGAGGAACTGAGTGCACAGATCTGATAATCCTCAGATGAACCTCGCTTGTAACCACATTTTTTCCAAACTTAAACTGAAGAAATGGTCTCATTGGCTAAACATCAGAGCACAGTATTGTTGTTAAGAAACCATAAAGCAGCTTATTTTGTTCTGTAAACAGCCATTCTGGGTAATGAACAGTAGTGTTAGCTGTGGGGATCAGGAGGATCAGGGAGTGGCTTATTGGATAAGACGCTGAGTTAAAGCCAAGTTGGCCAAGTTTCTTCTTTCTCACCTGCTGTGGGCGGAGTGGCTGTAGGGCGCTGTGCTGTAGGAGTAGGACTGCGGTGCGTGCGCGGGCATGTCGTATTCTGACATCGCACTACCAACACTCATGTGACCGTGCCAGTTTCCACTCAAGGACGCTGAGGACACTGGAGAGAAAAATGGTACAAGTCAGCATCTGACCTTCATGTGGAAACGCGGTCGACGGCACAATGCAGGAGACTAGAGATTCCCTGAGGACGTTTCTGTGATTGTTTTGATTTGTCTCGTTATAGCAGCTGTTATATCGTGGAACGTTTTTCCACAACATTTGTCAGTATAGACCATCGAAATGTTATCCTTTCATTTGTTATTGCCATCTATTAATAGTGATATGCAAAGATAGACATAGGAATCATAAGGAAATAACAGGGCATAGTTCCCTCTCTAATATCGATTTGATATAGATCATATTTTATACAAACAACTATTTATTCTTGCCTAAAACAGCAATTTACAAGATACCATTTCAACACATTAAGACAAATTGATAATTAACCAGATTGTAACTGAATAGAGCTTGAACAAATCATCTCAAGTTAACTAGCTTGAATCCTGCAGTTTTTTTTAACACATAATTGTCCACAATGCAGCGAGATCAAATAATAAAATAGGGTTACGTTCGTGGCCGTGTCACTACTTCGTATATTGAATAAAGTATCTCAAAAGTAAATGTTGGTGGTTTCTTGAGCTGCTCAGCAACTAATTCTAATCTACCATTTGTTTTGTTTTTACTCGACATGGTCCAATAATATATATCTGATGTATCGGGTGATCCAGCTGGAATCCATAACACACGGCGCAGTGATCTCACCTGAGGAGTAGGCGATGTTCCTGTGGTTGTGGCTCTGGGCGGAAGGCATGGTCTGATAGCCCAGGCTGTGCTGCGAGCCTCTGTCATAGTCGTAGTTTCCGTACGCAGGCTGTTGTTGTTGTGCGTTGCGTTGGTACCAGCCTCTCAAATGTTCTGCCACGATGGCTTTCTGGAAGTTCTTGACGGGCTGCTCGTTGCCGCGGGGGACCTGGCGAATCCTGGGCGGGCGCAAAGTGGCGTACGGGTTCTGCGACATGCCGTCCATCTCGTCGTGCCCGTAGTGACCGTGCACTTCGTGGCTGTGATAAGTTGGCTGTGTCGGGTGGTACGAAGGATTGACGGTGTAGTGTCCCTCCATCTCGTTGTCGTACATGTACACTCCGTTAGCGTAAGGCTCTGGTTCTGGGTAGCCCGTCACATAGTAGGCCGTGGTGGTGGGTCTGGCTCGCGGTTGGTTGGCATGGCGATTGTCGGGCTGAGCCAGGTTGGGCATGCTACCTGTGTTGGCGTACATGTCTTTTCTGTGGCGGCCGCGAGCTCTGCGCCTGTTTGTGTGGTTGCCGGGGACGCTGTACTCCACGCTGGACTGGCTGGTGTAGGAGGAGCCGTCGTCGAGGATCTCGGTGCTGTTGCTGCGTCGGGCGGGGGTGAAGCTGAAGGTCGGCACGGGGGGCTCGGCCTCCGTCAGCTGAGACTGGGACTCCAGGCTGCCACTGCGCTGGCGGAAATGTTGTGGAACGTCCTCTGATCTGTAATAAAAAACACCAGTTAAAAACGTAAAGAGGCCCTTTTAACATAATGACATCACTACTTAACATTTGCACTTCTAAGATAAGATGGAGCTTTATTAATCCCTGTGGGGAAATTCAGTAGTTCAAAAAGCAACAGGGTGAGAATGGAAAACACAATTCACACAGATTAGAGTGGAATAAAATGTAAGATAAAATCAAAGATAAAAACAAAATGATATACAGTAACTTTAAAATAAGAAATTAATTAAAATGAACATATATACACATTTAGGTCATATATATATATTAGATATATTGACATGTATGTGTGAAAACAGTGTGTATTTTATGTCCAGTACTTGTTGTGCAGCCTAATGGCTACAGGCACAAAGGATTGTCTATTGGCTAACACTCCAACAGACATTACGTAATAGGCTAAGGGGCGGGACATCTCTAAGCGGTTGACCAGTCACTACACAGCCGACCAGTCACTACACAGCCGACCAGTCACTACACAGCCGACCAGTCACTACACAGCCGACCAGTCACTACACAGCCGACCAGTCACTACACAGCCGACCAGTCACTACACAGCCGACCAGTCACTACACAGCCGACCAGTCACTACTAGGGTTGCAAAGGGGCGGAACATTTCCGGGAAGTTAAGCTGGGGAATTTTGGAAATATTCTATGCAAAATTAAACAAAAAACACGACATTTCAACAGATGTTTTTTTATTTAAATTTTTGTTAAGTAGAACAGAACAAGTTTTAATTATTTTATTGAACAATTATGTGTTTCATTGAAGAACGAAAACATGGAGGAATGCACAGTGCCTGTAGGGGGTGTGGTCTCACTAGCCATGCAGTAAGCCGTGTGCTATGGCATAGATATTCAAGTGTACTTGAATGTCATCGGTTTGTTTTAGTCAAGATTATGCTAAAATATACTTTCCCCAACTATATCTAAGTTCCCTAAGAAGTGCCAACCTTCAATTTAGAAAATTCTCAGTTTATTCCCATAAATTCCCATGGAAAGTTTCCATCTTTGAAAATTCCCGGAATTTTGCAACCCTAGTCACTACACAGCCGACCAGTCACTACACAGCCGACCAGTCACTACACAGCCGACCAGTCACTACACAGCCGACCAGTCACTACACAGCCGACCAGTCACTACACAGCCGACCAGCCACTACACAACCGACCAGTCACTACACAGCCGACCAGTCACTACACAGCCGACCAGCCACTACACAGCCGACCAGCCACTACACAGCCGACCAGTCACTACACAGCCGACCAGCTAACCAATCAGGTGTTTTCCTGTTCATCCTTTAAACTGCACACAAATGCACAGCCAGGATGTTTTGTAATTTGCACCAAAAGAGTGAAAAAAGTAACACAGAGTGAACCTGAACCTGAGGGCTGTACCTGAGCTGGCTGCTGCTGTAGGCGTTGCGGGTGAGGAGGGGGGTGGGGGGCATGCTGCGGGCGTCACGCGGCTGCCTGGAAGCCGGTTTGAACAGGCTGCTGTGGCTGGATAAGGCATCGCGGTGGCCGTAATGGACTGATTCCTGGACCTGGCCGTAATTTAATCTGAAACACAGATAAGAAGGAATTATTTCAGGGCATTCTGCTGTCAAAACTGAAGGGGAAAAAAACACCCGGGGTTTGCTTGGATGCATTTAAGTGATCACTTAAACCTGGATGGCTGCCGTTACATAGTCCACTGACCTTTCCTTTTATGCACCAGCAAGCATTATGACTGTATCAAATCTCTGAGGCTATAAATGTTTTAATACGAGGGAAGGAATTATCTATTATTTAAGTCTTTGTATTGAGTAGAAAATGTGCAAATGCAGGTTAAAAACGTCATGATTTCATTGCAATAACTATTTAAAAACAGCTTTGAAGCCGAGAGCAACACATCACACATATAATTGAGTAAACAGTCGTGAAGTGGCTGCCGTTTAAACTCCAGGTCCACTTTCCTGTTTCCCTTTTGTTGTCTGCTCCCTCGCAGGCAGCGACATGTTCTTTCCCATCTATTTTTAAAGCGGGTGCATTGGGCTGATAAGCGGCAGATTGTGGGAGAGGCAGGAGAAGGAGGGAGGAGGTGACTGGCAGGAATGTAACTCTGGATCTGGATGTCTACAGGTCTGAACTAGCTTCATCTGCAAAAACAACTGTCAGACCCGTTGGAGATTCAACGTATTAAAGGGGACCTATCATGCAAAATGCACTTTTTTATGTGTTTGATACATAAACATGTGTCCCCGGTGCGTCGGGGGACTCACAAAGTGTCAGAAAATAAAACCCTCTCTCCTTTCCTCCGTACCCACATCTCTAAAAACGGAGCTGATCCAGATTTGCTGAAACTGAGGGATATGAGGCTAGAATGGGTGATCTTTTGGTATTTTGAGCAAATCACTTCATAGACATGTTTTTTATTTTTATATATTTGTATACATCCGAGACCCTAACCCTTAGATGCATAAGTCTGTTTTGACCCGGTGAGGTGGTTTTCTTGAAGTATCTTTGAAATTACATTTTTTTATCATTTCATATTCCAGCTATTCCTCAAAAAACATGTTTTAGATATCATGCCATTCACATTTTAAATGTACATTTGATACATTTTAAGAAATTGTAGTTTTTGTATGACTAGCTTCCATAAGTGGGTCAAAAATGACCCGCATGCATTTTCTATGGAATCCTCTGGGAACCTTTGATTCTTATCATCTGTTGCCGTCAGGAATACATTCACTGTGGACCACACAGACGACATCACAAGTGACACCTCTCAGGAAGATCATTTTACACAGCAAGATCTGATACCTGTCAGTATAATAATAATACATTATATATTTATAGGGCTTTTCAAGGACTCAAAATCACTTTACAACATAAGGGAAGGTTAGGGTGGGGCTATCAAACTTGATCAACTGGCATGGATTGATGGGGGGGGGGCTATGAGTAGACAAGAGGAGAAGAGATGAGTTTTGAAAAGGGACTGGAATACTGTGAGGGTCTCAGAATAGCGGAGATCTTTGCATCGATATGTTCAAAACGTTTTTTTTCAAAACGTAATTTTTTTTATAAATGTATGAATAGTGAAAAATGTAATATAAAATATTTCTGGTGTGAACCAAAAATGGCATAAAAACACATATTATTCTAATACGGGTCCTTTTTGAGTGTAGGGTCCAGTCACTCGTGCATCTAAGGGTTGAAATAGCATGATAGGTGACCTTTAATATATTTCACGGGTGTCAGAGGTATCTGTGTACCTGCTGTCTGGCTGCTGGTCCGAGAGCCTTCTGTCGTTGTTGTAGTGGATGTCCAGCGTGTCTGCGTGGTGCGGTCTCGGGGAATACTGAACCGATCTGGAACGCTGCCTCTGGGAACTGAGCTCATCATCTGGGGGATAACAAGTGGTTCAAATGGTTATGAAATGCAGTGGGTAGGGGGGAGGGGGGGCGTTAGTGAACACATGCACACTGGCTATGGCTCAGCACTCACCATCATCCAGAGTGAGGCTGTCCGATAGAGAGCTGAGGTCTGAGGGGTTCACGTCGTCTGGTAACACAAGAGAGAAAAGGGATTGTTACTTATTCCACATAACGAGAGTAGTTAGTATTAAATAGACGATTACTTAATACATTCAGAATAAGACAACCTGGTCAATGAAATATACGTAATGGGAAAAATCACCATGACAATCTGAATAACGGTCCTATCTTTGACAATAGATGAGAAAAAAGGATAAAGAGTAAAAAACAGTCCTCGGAGAATCTTTGAAAACCAAAACATAGATTAGATTTGTTCCCTCTGCTGTTGTTAACGTACCTGCTATGATCAGTGAGGCCCTCTGGGTGGGTGTCCTCCCCTTCCTGACCCGGTAGGCGTTGATCTCCTTCTCGATCTCCTCCAGCTTCCTCATGGCGTCCAGGCAGTTGCTTTTTCTCTTTTTCTTCACCGTCTTCCCGAGCTCGCCCTCGTTGGACAGCTTGATGGCCGCTTCCACGATCTTCTGCTGCAGGGCGAACCTGCTCTCCAGATTCCTCAGATGTGGGTCCTGCGGGGAGAAACACAACAAACACACGGTGAGATGGGGAATTTCCCGAAATATGAAAACAGACCCTGTCAACGGTAGCAAACAGACTTCCAACATCTCCTTTTTCAATGTGTTGACATATTCTTGTTCATATTCCTTTCACCAAATGACAGATGGAACCCAGCTACACCACACAACATGTTTCATGCAAACATTAGGTAATCTAAGCCTCAAATTAAAAAAGGTAATATCTTAAGCCTCATTTCAACAACAGGGTATATGCAGGAATCCTGAAGTCACATGTAAGACCTTTTAAGACCTTTTTTAAGACCCTTTCCACACATTTTAAGACCTCATCGCCACTTGGAGTTTTAACCGGTTACCTTGGCGACACTCTACCTCACATTGACTATATACAGTATTGATTGTCCTTCCTCCTTATCTTCCAACCATTTGGACGCAGACTTGCATTTCCCCATAACGATGTTGTTTAACAACCGGCGTAAACGGACCTTCGCGCTATCAAGCAGTGAGCGTGCGATGTCCTGTTCAGATGACGTCAAACCCAACGGGATGCCATCAATAAACTACACAGAATCACACTACACACCTACGCCATGATTACATTCAGGCAGACTGTAGAATACAACCTCTTTGGACAATTTATATACTTATTGAAAACAAGCTACAAAATGTGATACCTTGGAAAATCCCGTTTAATTCGTTTTAATAGCCTTAATTTTCGCTAAATTGATTCATCAACTTGTAATACTGTTTAAGACCCCGCGGACCCCCTGAGCAAGTCACATGATCTCTAGGTACTGTGTTTCCACAAAGAGTGACTTTATAGAACAGTGATACATCACAACGAAACACCAACCTCATCGTAGGGGAAAAGGTCATCAAGCTTGAACTCTGTCCCGACGCGGCGGCGTACGGGAGGAGCCTTCTCGCCTGTTGCCAAGGGATACTCTTTGGGCAATTTGCCTGTTAACTCCTGCAGATTAGAAACAATATTCAACAGTCAGCTGAGTGGATATTTTCGGGAGGTGCTGTAATGTTTGTTGGGGGTTTTCCTCGTCCTGTAGTATGCTATATATATGTATAATAATAAGAGAGAGACACTCACTGCTTCTTTCAAGCAGATCTTCTTCAGTTCCTCAAGTTTCTGTTTCAGCGTGTCTTGGAGGTTCTTCGCTTTATTTTTCAAATCCACAACCTTGTCTTTCTTCTGTTCATCTGTGACTTCAGAGTCAGCAGAACCTGGAACAAGCAACCGTCTCATTAACTAGAAATGATAGCAATCACTCATCATCATCCTGATGATGTAACATTAGCAGGTTCTGCTTACCGGCTGAGATGAGGCTCCCGTTGCTGGCCATAATGAGCTGGTTCTCTAAGCTGGAGAGTTTGATGATCCGCGGGGCGCAGATCTCCGTGAGGTCCATGGCGATGTCTCCTGAACTCCGGGTTGTGGTCATCTGTGACTGTAGGGGAAGAGGAGGGACAGTTAGCAGGAGGAAAGAGGGAGCAGCAGCGAGGGAGGGATTGGGAGTACTTCATTTTAATGATAGCACGCTGCAAAAAGCGGGCTGCTCCATTTGCATGCTGGGTACTCAAAGCCCGTTGCTCTCTCATCAATCAGTGTAGGCTCTATTCCTGGATGACACACCATCTGCCTTCGAGAGACACAGTGGCTGAATAACCTCATTTGACTGCGGCAGCACACTCATCCATCTCCAGCAGGAAGAGCACATCACACAGCGCTCATACTGTATAATAGCCCTGCTGCTCAGCAAATATGCATCATAAACACAAACACATGGACCACCAGCATCTTCAGCCGGCTCTTAACACTCGGACTGGGATCTCGGCTGTGGACAAACTGTGGGCTTTATTATGCATTATTAATGTTCGGGCTTTTAAAAAATAGTATGTTATTTCTTTAGTGAATTGCAGAGGTGGGACCAAGTCATTGTTTTGCAAGTCCGAGTCAAGTCTCAAGTCTTTGCGCTCAAGTCCGAGTCAAGTCTCAAGTCAGGATGGGCAAGTCCTAAACTTTGACAAAACGAGTCATAAACAAGTCATTATGTGCTTTTCACCAAATGTAATCGATCAACAGAATAAAACTTAATAATCAAACCGCTCTTTATTATTCACATTAATAATTTAATAATCCATTTTCTCTCTGCTGACAATAAATCCTGAGTGGTTACCAAAATGTTGCTCTCCAATATCATTGAAAAGCAGCCAGACGCTGCTTCTTTTTTCGGTTTTCGCAAATTTCTTGACTTTTTCCGACGCGCTTGCATTTAAATCCGTCTCCCCGTCGCTCTGTGCAGCTGGCCTGTACCACTACACATGCTGTGCCCCCCACCCTTCTTTCACATAATGGTATGATCCTAGTGTGTCCTCGCATATGATTGGCCGCATGGTGGGCCAGCTAAATAAAGTCCCGCCCCTGCCTGCAAGGATTCTCAGCAAGAGTAGGAGCGGCTGAAGATTCTGCTCTCCCCGACGGGAGTCTGCTCTTCTAGCGGCAGCTCGCGATCGGCGTGTTGGAGACCTCTGAATTAAAGTAGCAAGTCACCTCAAGTCAGAAGGCTCAAGTCCAAGTCAAGTCCCGAGTCATTGGTGTTCAAGTCCAAGTCGAGTCGCAAGTGTTTTGTGATGTTGTCAAGTCGAGTCTCAAGTCATCAAATTGGTGACTCGAGTCCAAGTCATGTGACTCGAGTCCAAGTCATGTGACTCGAGTCCAAGTCATGTGACTCGAGTCCACGCCTCTGGTGAATTGTATTTTTGCTTTAAGCCTTAGATGATTTCTCTTAGGCTACATACAAGGCGCAATAACAGGGGATGAACAATTGATTGGAATTCTATTAAAATTGCAGATATAGATTAGTGCAATATCCAAATCGAGGAGCCGCAGTATTAATAAAGAAAAAAGATATATAACAAAACGACAACAATGTCAAACCAAAAGTATATTAACTCAATAAATCACACAAGCAATAATGTGATCACGAATCACATATTTTTCTAAAATAAAAACAATATTAAAGGTAAGTTAGGTAAGAATGGAGAAACCAGCTCGAGTGCGCTAGAATTTGAAAGTACACAACCGGAAAAAATCTGCCCCTTCCTTCAGACTTCCTTCCAGAGCCCCTCCTCCAACACACACGAACGTGCACATGACCAATGAGGGCACGGGATAAGTTTGTGCCCCGATGGAAGGCTGACAGGCAGGTAGGCCATCCAGTTACTTTAGCCGGGCCGGCTCAGATGATTGGTCGTGCTTTTTATGGATTTATTGTCAAAGCATTTCATGTATTCATTGCTATCGGGATGTTAAGAGCATTCCATGGAATATAAGTGTTTCTGAAGTGAATTACCGACCCCACCTTTAACAACAATAGGCACACCAAGTTCAACTATATTATTCTCCCTGTTCTATTAGCATAGTGATCAAAGTATTTATTACTCAGAGGAGTTAGAAGCTCTCAACTTAATCTACCAAACACAAGCTCTATCAATAACAGTGATTCTATTCATGTTAAACCAATGAAGCAACAGTTTCCAACACAGGATCTATTTACATTAAACTGGTGGCCTGTCACTTCCCATCATCACGCTGTTGACACAAGTCACAAGCATAGGACCGGATCAGGCAGTAGATCACATGATGAACAGTCACCAGCACACCACGCTGCCACACTTTCACAATAACCTCATGAGCTTCAATCAGTTCAATTCACACTGAGAGAATGGGGTGATGAGTGTGTTTCAATCGGTGTGAAAAACAGGTCATCAATATAGCTCGTACATCCTAATAAAGGTAATCACTCTAAATGAAGTTCATGATAGTGTCATTACTTGTAAACTATACAGAGAGGAACACAAGCACACTGTGTCTATCAGCCAATCAATACACTCTCAGCATCAATGCCCCTAACCCTAATGTTGTATAATGAGCACATTTGTATCTAATCTTCCTATGTTTAAAAACAACAGCTTTTAATATTGGACATTTTACTTTGACTTCCTACTTACTCTCCATGTTCAAATATGTATTTATTTTTAAATTCCAAAATGGAGCAACTGTCAGAAAACAAAATGTTCGCCGCGGGATAAGAAAGTATTCTGATTGTAATTTAAAACATGATTAACACACAGACACATGTCCCTGGTCTGTCACCAATGTGAGTCACTTGGTGCGTTATAAGATGTCTACACAGGAGGAGTATTAGAAGGTATTATTAGATTTCAAACTGCATCGGAGTCAGCAGGAACTATGGTGAGGGAAAGTGTGAGGAGAAAGAGACACTCACTTTGCTCTGCTTTCTGTCCAGGTAGAACTGGTGCTGACTGATGGCCATCACCCAGATGGTTTTAATCAGAGAGTGGCTGGCATACCATGTGTGAATAACCAGACCGGTCTGTCCGAACGTTCGCTTGGTCACTGTCCTTCTGAGAAAGATAGCAACATAAACCTTCAGTGCTGCTCTGAGACACAAAACAGCTGCAAACACGGGTTGATAAACAAGTCTTTAATTAAGATGGGTTAAGCAAAGATAACACAGTTTGTCTAATTCAATGTGTGGCTGTTTCTTAAATAATTAACTGAAGAGCAGACAGTGGGATTTAATAACAGCTCAGGTGGCTGAGAGAGACGCACGTGTGAAGGGCAGAGGTCTTACAACAGCATTAGAATAATAAAGCGGCCTTTAAACAACAGGAAAACAGTCATTGAACAGAGCAGCTACAGCCATTAACACGGTGCTGGCTGTGGATGCCCTTCACAGTGTGTAAGGTGTAAGATAAGGACATCTGAAGCCAGCTCAAATTGGAGCACTTCAGACAAACGGGGGGAAAGGACTTACTAAGATCAGTTAAGATAAATGAAACCTTTCTCTGACCTGTGCGGGTCGTTCACTTCCACAGCAAATTTCTTCTCGCGGAAATACAGATTCTCTAACTGCTTCCACTGATACAACTGCAGAGAGACAGGGAATAAAGGGGGGGAGGGGAGGGAGACATTACAGATCCGTGAGTATACACAACACAGGGCTATTGATTAAAATGAGGCGTTGCTCGACATTAACAGAGGTATAACTTGGCTGTAAAGCGCAACAATGTAATCAGAAAGGCTTCCCAACACCTTGAAACCACTGGGTTTGCTTCAGCCGCAGCAGCACGCCGTTTAGCACCATTTTTCTGCTTAACTTGCAACATTAGGAGAAACAACTAAAGCAGTGAATGGGGCTCAGCGGGCCACGGTCCTGTGTAAGGTCGTCAAACTGAGCCAGGCAGCAAGCTATACTAGTTTCTCATTTCCTTCTGCTGTGGAGGGAAACAGAGGAAGGGCTTCTGTGTGTCAGGATGAAACCTCTGCTCCACTGATAGTGTGTTCAATAAACTCAGTCTGAGCCAGTGAACAACTCTTCACTGCTCAAATGTAGGAAACAAGAAGAGACACAACAGTGGGGCGAGAGGTTATGTAGGAGAAAATGTTTGTTTGACCGCACTCCTTTCTAAAAAGGTAAGAACTTAAATGACTTCAAACAAAAACTCAATATATAAAATCGAACCCAGGAGGTAAACTGTGCCTGGGGTAAGAAATGACGATAAGCAGAGAGAACATATTTTCAAAGCATATTTAAACTTGGCACTAACTGTAACACATTACACTTCCCTGCAGTGTGGCTCTCACAGTGACAGACTGCCTGTAGAGCAGGTTCAACACATTTAGGAGAACGTTAAAAGCAGCACAAGGAGAATAAAAACATTCAAACCCCTTGACTATTTCAAACAGCTTGGACACAATAAAAAGGCTTACCGTGGTTTTTTGGTTTTTAAATCCCTGCTGAATTCCCTCCGGTTTGTATTGAATCTTTAGAGTTTCCCACAGGGCTAGTGCTTCCTCGAACAATACTCTCTTGTCTGTTCTCAGGGAGCCAGATAGGTGTTGCAAGAGTTTCAGCTGAGCAGGCCACGCCCCTTTAACCACCCCCTCTCCTCTGACATCACAGAAACATCACAGATACCTCAGGCACTGCTCGCTCTCTCCCCCCCTCCCTCTCTCCCTCTCCAAACACAGCCCACTTCCCTTTGAGTCAGACCAGATGAGCAGGTTGTTCACAAGCTTTTGCCGGCCCAGGTTTTTAGAAGATTTCTCTGCTCCACTTCCCGTCACATGCAGATAAGCGATCAATCTTCCACAGACTTTGAATGCTCTCACTTCCATATAGGAAGTTCCTTGCTTTTCATATTGTAAGTGGCACACAAAGCACTGCTGTGGGGCTGAATTAACTACTACCATGTCCCCCAGCAGGGCAAACACGTTAGGAATCTGTTACTATGGTCTAATCATTAATAGCAGGGGCGAGGGTGCACTCAACTGCCCATACATGCACTTTGCTCCAAATACAAACTCATATATTTACAGGCAGTATGCGCGATATCCGAAAGCAGTACGTGTATGAGAGAAGAAAAGAGAAAATAAGGTATTTAGTATATAACATGAAAGTGATGACCGTGTTTCCCACAGAATTAGATTCTATTTGTGGGGGCGCCGCACCCCCCCCGGCAAGAAAAGCCAAAGGACCCAGGTGGCCCACGCATCCACCCCCCCCCCCCCCTCAAATAAGATAATACATGCGAGTTCATGGCTACTGTAGACAACGGTCTTGTTGCTCTGTGTTGCGTTGTTAATGAGTGAGACACACTGTGAGGATCTGTGGGGTTTATTCTCCCAACAATATCATTTACAATGTCGGCATTTAGCAGACGCCTTATTCCAGAGCGACTTACAACGACCAATCACAGGGACATTCTCCCTGGAGTAACCGAGGGCTAAGTGCCTTACTCAAGGGCACACGAGTAGTGGTGTTCCAGGCAGGATTTGAACTCGCAACCTTCCGATCATCAGCCCACCTCACTATCTATATTAGACCACCAAATGTATGAGATCCATTTGTGGCAGACGATATTTAATTGTGGCGGCCGGCCACACATAAATCAATATATGGGAAACACTGGATGATGTAGTTTACTTCTGACTTATACTGCTATTATCCATTTAGTATTTGTCATATCGTTACTGTAATTAGTTTAGTGTGTAAATATTCTCCGTATCTCCAATTTGTTATAATAGTCTATTTGTTGTAATGTACTGTTATTTGCTCCTTTTCTACAACTCATTCCCCTGTGTGTCGATGTATGCACTATTTAAATGGGAAATAAGCTAATTCCTCGTGTGTGTAAACCTTCTCTGCAATGAACCCCATTCTATAGCGATCGTTTGATTTCTTGTCTTTATTACGGTGGGCTCTAGATGCAAAAAGAAGCATGGGTACCGCCTTGCATGCAACTTCCAAAAAGCTCTCATCACTGCAGATGAGAGCTCACACCAATTCACACTCTCTAGTCACCATCATTAGCATCATAACAACCGATCTGAAACAAAGGTCTAGACAATGAACACACGTTCACAGGATCATTCCCCCTATTAGAGATACTCCACACCAGTGTGCCAGTAACAAGATGAAACTAAAAGACTGCGGCTGAAGCCATTGCCAACATATTTAAAGGGCCTGACACACCTTCATCTCTACTGTCACAGGTCGTATATTTTACTCTCTTAGTTCCTGCTCTCTTGGATGCTTTGTAGGCTCATAGCTGTGACCTTCATCTGTGCATGAACCACCATTTATTACCAGTTTAGGGTCAGAACTGCTTTTTTATTGGGGTTTTAATTGCAAATGTACCCATAGGTCTGAGGGTAACTCCACCTACTGCATCATCTCTCTTGTGGGCAAGGGGCTGGAGGGGGGGGGGGGTGGGTTGGCATGAATGTGTGATTTAGATAATACGTGGTGAATAACACTCTTTTTTTATTATAAAAACTTAACTTTGAATATAAATATCATCTGGTGTCTATCTCAGAATTGGCCTTGCGAGGTTCAGGGCTGATTTGTTGAGCCATGTTCAACTCAGGAAATGGCGATTTAATTAAAAGTATGTGTTTATTAACAGCAGCTTAAATGTGTTTTATCACAGTACAGTTAACACTTGAATGAAGCTTCAAAAACATGTGTAAGTGTGCAGCTCCTTCTTTAAACTTGATCTAGCATGGGTAATATTTCATACTATATAAGTCATATACAAAAAACACAACCGTAGTGCACAGTAGATGTATTTCATTTTTCTCAACAATGAAGTAACTCAGTAATATTCTTACATACTGATTGAATGGGGTTGGCAACCTGAAAGTTGCTCTTTGAAGTGGAAACGCTCCAAGAAAGTTGGACTACGTAAAAAAAGTGACTCATCAGTACAAGTCATAGGTAGAGAAAACAAAAGCAACAAAACGTTCCTAAAGCAGGAGAACGCCAGCTCGCTCATGATTTGAGTAATTACACTGTCTCTCCTATCTTTAGTATTTCATCTCCCTTTGTTTTTGCCAAACATTTCATTAGCGGCAGAGAGCCAGACATGCCTGTGGTTTCCGATGGGATCAGGCTGTTCAGATCCAGCCTCACACCCACTATCCGAGGAACCCCAGGGCCACGAGTCCGCAAAATCATACACGGATAAATATGTCAAAGGCTCTGACTCACACGCTCATACAGAAAAAGATCTGCCACACCCTCCACGTAACACGTCACATTCCCGCAACACTGTACGTTGCACAACACGTTGATTTAGGTTGGGAAAAGTGAGCGGAAGAATATTTGCCCTACTTCTTCAGGGTGGGATGAGTAAAACAAAAAAGTGGAAAGGATTTTTATTTCAGCTCTTTAGGTCCCATGTCATTATTACCCAGAGGCTGACACTGTCCCTCATAATACACTGAAGATTCATTTGGGTTCTGCTGGCTGACCATGTGTGAGGACCAGCATGTGGTCTTGGAGGGTGTCCCATTACCCACTGGGAGAGTGTCACCCAGAGAGGAGGAGAGACAGAAAAGTCTCCGGCTTTAATTCAGGGAGAATTGAATCTTGACTTGCCATCTGCTTCATTCCCACAGTGTGTCCTGGAGACATTGAAGCACTGTTGTGTTCATCACATCAAATGAATGTTTCCTCCACCTACGGGACAGACCGTTTGGCATCTTGTATGCATTCTTTGTCCTATTTTGGAAGACACAAGCTACGCCTTGTACAGTAGAGTAGACAGTGCTTACTTACATCTACATGATATTGAAATATGATCAAAATCTCAGTATGGATTAGTATATTATCCCAATCCCAGAAAGCACAATATATGGTTAAGGCAAACTCTGTTTTCAAATAGCAAGAACTGCAGAAATGTCCTAGCTCACAAATGATATTCTACTGACCTCACAAAACATATTTGTCTGGGGCAGATCTTCTTTCAAATCACCCCAGTTTCAAATCGTGCAGCTCTATGTTCAATAAAGACTGATGGGACTGGCATGCGTGCAGAGAAGATACTGGGAGGTTAAGCTATTCCAGTGGCTTTCAATCACTTTGACAAAACTTAACATCACTTGAAGTACTTTTCTATAATTACACAAGTACTGAGCTCTCCCCGGGGCCAGCTCTAAATCCAGCCCCCAGCCCCCTACGCAGATAATTGTTCTGTATTGTTTGATCAATTGTATTCCCTCCGAGACACACACATGGATTAGCATAAAGAATACAGCCTGCTGAGAGGGGCTGGGCAGAGGGCAGGGCCGGGGTGAATAAAGGGGCTGTGAACTGAGGCAGGAAGCCCCATCAACATTAAATACAGAGGACTCCCTAAAGGCAAAAGTAGAGTAGCTATACATTTCTATAAATCAAAGAACAACAACAAAAAAACTCTTTAAAAGGTTTGCTCCAAAACAGCCAACTCATCTCTATGACTGTCCCCTCTTAATGTGAGGAGGTTGGAGGGGTCAGAGACTAGTTTGAAGTGCTTTTAGCACCCCAACACCCTCCAAATGCCCACCCACCAGCATGGCAGAGTGCCAGCCCGAGTCCCAGGGGCATGCTGCTTCCCCCCCAGAGAAACCATAATTACACCTTCCACAGGGAGGGTCTGGAGAGACATACTGTGGCTGTGCCCGTTAATGCCTCGGAGTAACAGCACACCCTGCTATGTCAACACGTTCCTGCCGTACAACAACAGCTCCGTGTAATGAGAGAGGCCGGGGAGAAACGCTTGGTTGGGACACTATCACAACGCATCTCAAACAAAGGGAGGGGGTAAACACAGACACGACAAGTGCCAACTCAAACATTACAGAACAGGAGCAGGACATTTCTGTACTGAAAGGCATCAACCAACCAGACATACAGTTAGAACAGTTGTGTGATTCTTCTTTCATTGATTTTACACTTCATTATTGTATCTCTTCAGTAATAAATGCGAGAGGTGGTCTTTACAAACTAACTTGCAACACTAGCCAATGATAAGCTTTTATAATCAAAAAGGGAACTTGCAGGCTAGTATATGCTTTTATAGTCAATAAAAGACACTTCTATATATGATGTAATGCTTTTATAATAATAATAATAATGCATTACATTTTTTATTAGAGCGCTTTTACAGGTGCTCAAAGCGCTTTACAATTACACATTACACATATTAGACATGTAAGAGTCATTACTGCGGACATTACCCACAGTTATAACCAAAACAGGGCCTTGTATGCTATTTAATCCAGAGTGTGTTGCTATTTGCACATTTTCCCTTTAAACTTTGCACGTTGAGTCGATTTATATCCCTTTGACAATTCACTCCACTGTTACTAGTTGTTCTGTGTTTGCTCTTACACCTACAGCCTTGACTGCGAGCAGCATGTACTGATACTCCAAAATGTTTTCCCCATCTGTCTTCCTCTTCCTCTTCCTCCTGACTGACATGGGAACCAGGGTCTTAATTACACCTATTTACAGTGTGTGTGGATCATTAACCAGCTAACAAGAGGAGATGAAAGCTCTGTTTTCAACCAGCCACTCAAGTACAGTCACGCTTAAGTGTACATACTTCCAAGAGAAGTTAAAAGCAAATAGGTTTGAAATATGTTTTTGGTTCATTACAAAGCAAAAGAAAATACAACTCTACACAAACAAACATATAACAAAGAAAATAAAAGACAGTTCATGCAAATACAACAGATGTAAAAAAGAGTTGCTCCTACCTTTCTTGGCTTGAGTTTATCCTGCAGGTCGTACTGTCCGATGCCTTTGTAGCTGACTCCCAGCCACCACGGTAATCCTTGCTTGTCCTGCAAGAAAGCACATGCACACACACACCACTCATTAGAGGTAGCTTTATTGGTGAGGGGGTTTGAAAAAGGGCTGTTACCAAAGCAATTACCCCATTAGGCTCCCAGCAACACAAGAGGAGATCAAATACATCCAAGGCCTTAAAAAGCCCCTGCAAGCCTGACTGAGTGTTTTAAACGCCACCGTCTGATCTCCCCAGACGCCTTGATCTAACGAGGTTTGGTTGGGAAAGTGAGTGGATGCATGTAGAAGGGAGTTATAGCTAAACTTAACGTCATTATGTGGAGTCTTTCATGCATGTGTAGCTGCTTTCACTGGATAAAGGGTGAATGTATGTTTTATAGGGCTGTCGATTTGGTTAAAGAATCTAATTGGGATTATTTTGAGTGACATTGCAAATGCGATATGATTTGCGTTATTGGATGAAATGATCATTTTTGAAGCATTATTCACATCACCATAGAAACATATATCGAATTGATCATAGTGTGATTTGTTTGTATCAGTCTGTAGAATACTGTTTGTAGGCCAGGCCACACTTTTCACATATTAGCCTTATCCAAATACTGAGGTTGCAGCAATTTGGCTATCGCAATAGTCCATATAATAAAAAACAATTGATTCATTGTGCAGCCCTAATAAGTCAAGATGAAATGCAGAGAACAAAGGAAGCCAGCATGTTGACAGAAGCTTGTTCAAGAGGTTAAGCTGCTTTATGACTGGGGGCAGCACTGTTACCTTCACTTGGTAGTAATGGACTCCGTATGTTGGCAGGGACTCCACCAGCGCCAGATACCTTCACAGAAAGAGGAACAGGGTTAACGGGAAACCCCTCCCATGTACACTTCATCACTGTCCACCGGTGGCTGTGGTTCCGCAGACGGAGTGCGATTTAAGCTACAGTCATTGAGAAGCCACGGCCATTTGCAGTGGCAGGCCGATCGATTTGTTTCAGGGCCGCGACAGAGTCCATTGATCAGTTCAAGGGCACAAATCATCCGAGCGTAAATGACCCAGGGGTTGCTCCGAGTTACAGTCCCAAGAAAAACACAGTTGGAGGGCTGAAGCGTTTGACTTCTTTAAAAGTTTTCTTTTTGCAATTAACAGTAGAAATGAGGACGGCACATGCAAATGACACGGTTGTAGAAAATGAAAACCATCATTCATTGCTTCCGATTTCCTTATGCTTGTTTTTGTTTACAAAGTAACTGACCAAGAGGAACATATTGAGAAAAAGATAAAACACATTTTGAATAATACCTTCTTAACTCAAATGAAATCTGGTTTGAATTGTAATCAGTGTTTCCGCCAGACCGGGGCTGAGAGGGCGTCCACCCCGAGAGCTGGGGGGAGGGGGGTTGTGTGACGTCACGTCTGAATTTTGAGTTGAGCCGTCCCTTATAGATACTATCTCTTTACGTATCAGTGATGGGAATTCCGGCTCTTTTTAGTGAGCCGGATCAATTGGCTCGGCTCACTAAGAAGAGACGTCTCTTTCGGCTCACTAAGAAGAGCCGTCTCTTTCGGCTCACTAAGAAGAGACGTCTCTTTCGGCTCACTAAGAAGAGCCGTCTCTTTCGGCTCCCAAACGGCTCGTCATGTTACAGTTTACCACGGAGCCTCAGTTTCGCCGCTGCGAGGCTCCGGCGCTCGCTGTTCACACGCGTGCTCCACTAGCACCCCCCGTCAAGGCTCGCCGGCAGTACACTTTCCGTCACAGGAACACGCTTTGCTGGCGGCGAAAAGAATCCCACCAGACTCCTTCGCCCCTCCAACAAAGGGATGTCCTTGTCCTTTTTGCTTTTCGTCATTTCAAGCAATAAAAACTCGATCTTCTCTCGAATTATTTATTTTTTTGGACGCCCTCGTCTCGAGTTTAGGGCGTTCCGAGCTGAAAAAATGACGGCAAGACGCCCCCCCCCCCCGACGGAAACGCTGATTGTAATCAAACACTGCCACTATGCTTGTTCACAAGAACATGTACTGATCTATTAGAGGAGAAAATGAAGTTCATCTCTGGATGGATGGGAACATTGACTCCTGTAGAATTCATAAAGAGTAACTGATTGCTTTTGGTTACACTCCTATCAATTCAAACTGTCAATGTTGCTAAGAACAAATAAAACAAAAGCAAACCAAATAACATCACACAGCTTAGATATTATGAAGCAGCACAAACACACAACAAGCCAAGGCTGGCCTGCTGCCCACTTTAAGAGCCCCTCTAATTAATAGCACATTCTGGCATGGTCACAGTCAGCCAGCCACCTCTCACAACAACAGACACAACACTGCAGACACAAGAGGTTAAAGGGGGGGGGGGGGGCATCAGAAGCAGTAGTGTGTAACACAAGTTAGTCAGTTTTGAACTTACTGCACAATGGCTTGTCCTCTGGTCAGTCCCTTCAGCTTCTTGTAATGTTCAATCACTTTGTCCTCACTGCAAATGGAAAGATGGAACACTTAATGAAAAACCCATCGAGTGTTACACATTCCAGCACACAGAGTGGGCTCTTTCTTTGACACACATTCTGCCTGCTCATGCAGTAAATGCAGTCTGGCCTACTTGCCAGCTGATAGCTCTCATCTAACTTCTCCTGCAAAATGCATCCCATTTACTTCCCACTCTAATCATCCCTTTTTAATAGAGTTGAGAGACTGCAAAACTCGCCTGAGGCTTAGTGGACAGACAGAGACAACAGAGAGGTGTTTTCATGTGCTCACCAATGCCTGTGATTTTAATTTGTGTATTAAACTGAGCCTGCAGCAGCCTCACATGACCAGTGAGCAGAAGAGGGGGGGGGCAACAACAGCAGTGTGGATTGAACAGACAGATAGGAATCCTTTAGATAGCCAGTGGCTGTCAGCACCTCCCCGAGCACTCGCAGGGCTAATGTGCAAACGTAATTAACGCGACTCGGGCATTAATTAGTCACCTCATCAGAGAGGAAACCATCTGCCAAGTACCGGGATGGTCTAGTAGGCACCGTAACACCCAAAATGGTTCTTCTGGGGAAATAAACGCCTTTTTACAACCAGGTGGTCCTGACCACTGAGGTGAGTCGACAGCATCTTGGAGGGGCTTTACAATTTATCAGAGGTGTCAAAGAGGAACTGGTGCCTGAAAAATAAACCGCACCTCGGCAGTGCAATATTTAGGAGGCAGGAGAGACGACGTGGCTCAAGTCTTGTCTTAAGGTTGTGGTAACTGCACTTTAAATGTTAATATGAGTCTTTGCTGTAGAAGATTCATTCTTTATCTTTTTATTTCAACAAGCAATTTGTTGCATTTTAGAAGAACACTAATAAGCAGCATATTCTTCATGTAAAATATTTACGTTCATCTGCACACCTTGACATATGGGAAGATGATTAGGAGAGGACTCATGGTCCATTTAGGTTACAAAGATGAAATGTTATGGCAACAAATGAGATTGTATGAGTTGTTATCATTTTGTAGAACAGCCAGAGTAGCGGGATAAGGGGAGGTGGAGTCACCGCCTGCCCTTATTATCCTTTTCTGTTTCTGTATACATTTGGATCTGTATGATAGTGTCTTCATGTTAAGGTGACTAGAACCTTTTAGAAGAAGTAGGACACAAAAAAACACAACTGAATACTTGTTGCGAGAAATGATGTAATCGCATTATTAAACAAAGTTAGGGGAATGTAGGTCAATTGAGACTGATGCAAAGCCAGTGTTTCCCCTAGGTTTACTGCTTTGGGGGGGTGCTGCCTGAGCGGGGGGGGGGGGGGGCATTGGGATATATATTTTTTAAATCCTCAGGAGCAGAGAGAGGAGCTGTGGATTATTGTTATTGATTAATGCATCAGTGTTTCTTAGGGTCAAAAACACTAACCTCACAACTTAAAATGAAAGCGTTTAGTTTATTTAATAAAAGAGCACATGTTCAATGTGAAAAGTGACAGTAGATATTAGGGATGTAACGATATATCGAATATCGCGGTAAATAAACGTCCCAATACCGTCGTGAGACTGACAAAATCTACTGCGATTTAAAAAAAAAAAAAAAAAATATTTTTTTAAAACACTTTTATTTTTGTTTTAAACCTATTATTTAACCAGGTGGTCCCATTGAGATCATCGATCTATTTTTCAAGAGAGACCTGTCCAACATGGCAGCAAGTAGGTTACAACATGAACATAAAACAACAGATAACACAAAAGGACATTGTATTTACAGGGCTACATTTACACACCTAGAGACATTGACAAGTACCAACAGTATATTTATATCTCTGTCAATAAGCCTCACCTTCTTGACAAACACTGTATTGTTTTTGAAGTGGTGGAGAGACAATGCACAGTTTGACCCACTGCTGTCACCCATGGCCAAAGCATATCTCTCCGTCCCACTGAGGTGGCGTTAGACTTTTTGACAGACAGGATCGTAAAATATCCGTCATAATCCCTTATTACCCGTCGGGTCTGAACAGTTCACGAGAGAGCACGCTCGTGAACTGTCAACGGGGGGGGGCGGTGTTATGCCGTGTGTGCATGCACCTCGCGGGAGCGCGCACAGCGTAAAGCAAAACCTCCCAGACATGTATTGATCTGTACGGCAAAGTACGGTTTGGAAACTATATCATTTCCTTTTGGAGGGCATGCATAACACGGCATAACACCAGAGCCTCGCTGCGGAGAAACGTTGGCGCTGTTCCGAGTTTGTTCTAATCTGTCAAAATGACAGACTGCTTTCAGATTTTTCCGTCATTGTTAAATAAAATATTTGGTTAACGCGACCACTGCTGTCCCAGCAACATCAGTACCAAGCGAGAGAGTTTTTTCCAGAGCAGGGGATATTGTAAATGCCCAAACATCCCAGCTTATAAATAGCTGGAAATGTGGACATTCTCATATTCCTAAAAACCTGTCTGATGATGCTGAGTGAGTGACTAGTGAGTTTGAGTTGAGTTACTAGAAAAACTAAAGTGAAACTAGATTTATTTTATTGCAGGGTCTGATTATTAAATGTCCTTATTTATTTGTGAGATGCAGTGGCACAAAGAAAATGCCTACTTTGTTTGGTAGTACTAGTATAGTAGGTACAACTGAAGACTTTTCTTTTTGTCGCTGCTTTTAATTGAACTATTCATATCTTAGACTGCACTGTAACTTTTATCCATGTATTTTTTCTTTTAATGTTTATTTTATTAGCTGTTCTTTTTAATGACTGATTTTAAATGCCATTTTCTTAATGTCTTTCATTTTTTGTAAAGCACTTTGAATTGCCTTGTGTTGAAAAGTGCTATATAAATAAACTTGCCTTGCCTTACAAAAACACTGGTTTTCTTGTTCTAGTCTGTTACTGTCACTTTGTTTTTGACACTTTAAAATACTGCTATCCTACTAAAATGCTGTACAAATCAGATTTATTATTTAATAAAGAAACATTTGAGAAAAAAAAAATTGTATTGAAATTTTTTTTTTTAAATTTTGTGTCCCCTTTATTATTCAATATCGCGATAAATATCGTACCGTGGACTTGTTATCGCGATATTATCGTACCGTGAGTTTTTGGTATCGTTACATCCCTAGTAGATATAGATTAGTTGCTATTTGGTGTTATACATATATATATATATATAAGTATTATTATTTATTTTTTTAACTCCTTGAATTTCAGGGCAATGGTAGGGGAAACACTGAAAGCACTTACAATGGTGTGGCTTATTTTAAGCAAATGTACGGCATTGCATTTCTGTTTTTGTTCCTGGTTTATTCTTGGGTTGGGTACCGAGAACCGGTTCCGGTTCCAACATATCGATTCCAACGGCATCATTTATACCTCATTCATACTAACGGTGTTTCAGGGCCGGTTCGGAGCTGGAGCTTGAAAAGCACCGGGTTTTCCTGTTCACACCGCAGCGGAGCAGCCTCTTAGCTCCGGAATCCGGTTCGTTTCAAGCACCAAAAAATTGCCCGGCCAGAGAAACGATGGAGAAACTTAACAAGCAGCAGTGGTCCACTGAAGAGACCTACTACTTACTGGGAATCTGGTCTTCCGAAGAGGTACAGAGGAAGCTGGAGCACAATCAGCCATTGTTGTTGTTGTCGGTGTCAGCTGTGAGGGGTTTCCGCGCGGTTTGGCTTTATGAAGCAGGCACGCAAACGGTTACGTCATGACGCAAACGATGATGCAATGACGCAGCACCAGTCGGACTCTGGGCAGTGTGAAAAGAGCCGGAGCTAAACCGAAGAACCGGTTCTGAACCTGAAAAGCTCTAGCACGGAGCTTGAACCGGAGTTGCGTTGGTGTGAATGAGGTATTAGACATGTGAATTTTGGTTCTGCTTTTCGATGCCTGAGGAAATGTTTCTCACCGCTCTCCGTAGCCTACTGTATAACTGCGGCGGGGCGGGAAATGTAGCGTTGTACCCAGGCTTGGATTTTCCTCATTTTAGGGGCAAGGCCATTTGGCCTTTGGTGTCACACGTTTTTTCAGGGCGGAAAGGCCACATGCCAGGGCACAAAGGCCATTGAGGGAAACATTAGGACTTGGAGCTTACAGATAAATAACTTTACTTTCTAATGACAAAAAACAAATCACTTTTTTAATATCAATAATCGTATCATCATATAGGCCTATGCCTCCTTAGTATTACCGTATATACAATGAAATACTTTACTTTGAATAATTAGTGTTTGGTATGTTTTCCATCTACTACTTCTCCCATTCACAAATCCAAAATGAAATCTAAAAATCAAAAATTCTATTAATATGTAACAAATATATTCCATTTCAGAGCAGAAGAAACAGCCTTCAAGGGGCAAACTCTGCACATACATCATTCAGCAGTGCACTATGAAGCTCCAACATCCAACTGTATGAACAAGCAATACTTTGAAGTGTGTGTGTGTGTGTGTGTGTGCGTGTGTGTGCGTGCGTGTGTGTGTGTGTGTGCGTGCATGTGTCTCTTTAGTCAACTCCTCACAGCTCTTCATATCTGTTCAGAAACTGGACAAAAGTTAAAGATGTACAAACCACAGACTGTCTGTGTCATGACGAATACAGTCGCTGCTTTAATTCTGTCTTTAGGACGTTGTTGTGAGTTTGGACGGAGCAGCTACAACGTTAGTTTAGCCTGATCGATCCAATCTCCATTCACAAAACACGCATTTTAAAAGGTTTTGCATGCCGTCTTGTCTGCACACTTGTCAAAGCATTAAAGCATGGTTTGTACTAACCGTTATCAGTATTTAGTTACTTCGGCATCATTTTGAAACGTGCATTACAATGAAATCACGATAAAACAGGTTAATTTGGTCGTAGTTGGTTTCCACCACAGTATTTCCATGGATATAAGCCCCGCCCCCACTCCAGCGCGTCCTGTTTGAATGACAGGAGTAAACACAGCTGACAGCCGAGGTGAAACTCCAGCGGTTGGAGCAATGCGAGTATTCGCATCGCGTCCGTTGTGAACGCAGCATAATGCAGTTCAGAAACCACTGTTCTGACGCTTTTAAAGCAACTTTTAACTGTGCGAGGGGCCCAAAGGCCACGGTGGCCGTAGGACGTACAATTATTTGTGGGGCATAACGGCCAGACGGAGGGGCTACGACGGCCATGGCCGTCATGGCCGCCGTGAAAATCCCACCCTGGTTGTACCCATAGACTGTGGTTGTACCTACACTTCCTAGAGCGTAACCTAAGACCAGGGCTGGCCCGTCGCACTGGCGTTATAGATGTTCGCCTAGGGCGCCAGATCTGTGGAGGCGCTGCGCTGACAGCTCTGAAAAAGAAAAAAAAATGTTTTGACCGTTGGCGCTCATCCTAATTTTCGGCCTTGATGTAACAACATTCATAATTAAGTAAATGTAACACCCTTTTCATCCCGGTTACACTTTTAATTTGCCCTGTACGATGGGCGCCGTAAGTGATGAAAATGGGGGATGTTGGCTTATCCGGCACCCGCAGCTCACAGCCAAAGTGCGAGTGAGCGAGCGAGGGAGAAAGGGAGGGTGCACCGGTACCAGCGCTGTTGTTATTAGCATCTGGTGCTAGCTGCTCTAACGGAAGAAGAAGATGTTTCTACAATGATGTGGAGGGAGAGTCCTCTCCAGTCAGACTGAGAGGCTGATAACTACAGCTCAGTGAGATAAAGGACTCTTGAGTGTTTAGATAGTTCACTTTAGTCTAAGTTATCTCAGTGGGTCTCAAACGTTTTGATCACAATTTATGTAAACACATATTTCCAAGGCACTCCTTTATATGGTATATGTCTAGTCTGATAGGGGTGCAGTTCTGTCGAGAGCACCAGAACGCCGCTCCGGCACTTCCAGAAATTGCATTACCGATAAGGAGCCGTACACATGCCGCAGTGTCTTTAGTTGAAAGCCCAGTGGCGATCTGCTCATCTGTCATACTGATCATACAGTCAATAACTTTGTTGTTATTAGCATCTGGTTAGCTAGCTATGCTAACGAATATAAGAAGCTTTTTCTACAACCAGTGAGGTAAAGGCACATCTTTATATGGTCATTAGAGTTATAAAAAAATAAGAGAATAAAGTAAACAGGTATAAAATACTATATGACGGTAACAAAAAGTTGTTATTAAGAATACAGTTTGAAAGGGGAGTGATTTGTAAAATATCCATAAAGAAAAATAAATCTGCTTACAGTTCTGTTTCATATGGGTGTTGAGAGAGGTATCCATAGATCTCCTCATGTTGCTCTCAAAGTGCACCAGATTGATGCTTTGGACTTCAATATTTAAAAAAAAAAATCCCTCCCCCCACACACACTTAAATCATGTCCACATGGATAGGAAACTAAATACATTAGCACACATCTTGTGTCCATATCTTTCTGTTTTGGTGGTCATGCCACAACCGTGCACATGCATGCGCGAGTCATGGTGAGATATCTGGATTCAGAGGTTGCTTTTTCTTTGCACATCATGAAAGAAAGGCCAAATGAATGGGCTGTGATTTTAGTATTTTTAAGCAGAAGTCAATAACTTGTATACGGCCCTCGGAGGATATCGTAAAAATTGAAATGGCCCTTGAGAGGAAAAAGGTTCCCCACCCATGTCTTAGACAAAAAGTTTAAATGAATAACTCAAATAAAACTCCAAACATCTTTCATTGTGTTTCAAAGCTCTTTTAGTTTTAAACCTGATGTTTATAAGCTTCTTAGTTTTTGCAACGGTCTGTAAATATACACAACTTTATAATAAAATGCACACATTTACCTTTTTCTAGACTAAACACAGGTATGATCCTAAGTTAAAACATATGAGGTTATCATGAGGTTGTTAACATCGCAGTTTATCAGTGGATGTTTGCTGGAACTACTTGTAAACAGCGTGTTTCCTGACGGACACACACAGCGTGACTCCGGTCAGGTAGAGACCGGTCTCAAGTCAGCACCGCTGCAGACTCGCTGTTTGAGGGCTTGATAGCCCACTCCCCCTCCACACCGCTCCACACTCGTTGGTTTGGAACAGCCCTCAATATGGCGAACCCTCCGTGTGAACGCGCAAACGGAGGGGTAGGGTGTAGGGGGCGGTTTGGGAATGGGCCATTGTCCGTGTCAACAGGAGTGACAGTCCGCACACACAAGACTGCAATTATGGCAGAAGCAAGAAAGCCCAAAATATATAATTTTCACTCCGAGTGGGAGGATGATTATTTTTGTATCTATTCCAATTCAAAGTCCATCTGTCTCATCTGCAATGCGAGCGTGGCTTTATCGAAGAAGAGTAATTTAGGAGCGGCATTTTCAAAACAGTGCACAAACGCTACGAGACGGAATTCCCTCCTAATTCTGCCCTACGCTCCAAAAGGGGAGGGGCCTGAAAGGACAGCTAAATGCACAGCAGTCCATTTTCACCAGGCCCAACAACAAGAGCAAGGCTGCTACCAGAGCATCTTATCGTGTCAGTCACGTTCTTGCAAAACACATGAAGTCTTTCAAAGACGGTGAAGTTGTGAAAGAAGCATTCCTGGAGGCTGCCGACGCGCTTTTGGGGGACAGTAAAAATAACAGAAGCATTTCAACAGGTTTTTGATATAATAAAAACTCAAGTTAGATACCGTTATTAATCAGCTGTAAGTTTTAGTTTGTTTGAACTTATTCATTATAATTATTGTACAAAATGGTATAAGAATGCAAACTTAAAATTTGATTATAGTCTATTATCAATTCAGGTTAAGAAACTAGTGTTGCTTGCATCCTATTTTAAAAAGGCATTTCTTTTTATACTCTACTAAAATGCAACAAAAAAAGGGTTTGATTCTATTAATTTTGTCTTTTTTATTGCACTGTTGCAGCAGATTCCTGTGTAGCTTCAGATCTGAGTCGTCTTATTAGTAAGCCGAATATATACTTTTGTAGCAACACTATTTTTATATAATGGCAAAGAAAGAGTTCAGAGTCTTTTCTTTTTCCCTGTGTCATATGTGGCAGCACTGTTCAATGTTTCTTGAAAACATTACCCACTGTAGTGACGTGTGAATAAACTCCAACTCTGTATCAACAACACTGTTGTGTAACTTCAGTTAAATACTTGTATGTGTGTAGATTAGAAAGAGGTAAGATAAAGGATCTGCAGTATTTTATGAAGTATTAATCGTACAAAGGTCAGTTTTATACAAGTAGAAGTGTGTATTTACCTGGTAGTAGGCTGTCAGTAATGGCTACGCGTCTCTATTTGGACTGGTAGATCTCGGCAGACTGGCAGCTTTAAAAGTAGCTCTCGGTTCAAAAAAGGTTGGGCACCCCTGATCTAGTCTCTAGTCATTCTGCTTAAAGTGCACCAGATTGAAGCATTTTACTTTAAAATGTTCAAACATTTCTTCCCGGTATGCCTGAGAAGGCAGATATGCTTGTTTTTCTCAACAAGAACTGTTTTTAAATGGGGGGGGGGGGTTTCCTTTAAAAGTTGGACTGTTGTAGCTTCAGTGGTTCTCAGGTTACAGTTACATAGCAGTGAATATAAACAGACTGATTAATGTGAACATTACTGTAAACCAGTGGTTCTCAAAGTCAGAGTCATGCCAGGGGGGGCGCGAGAGACCAGGAGGAAAAATGGTTATAAAAAAAACAAAATCGAAAAAAATATAACGCAGTACAGTACTATTACGTCTGGGTCTCTGTGTTTCATTAAAGCTCGACTGTGTGTGTGTGAAACGAGCCATTTTGTGTGCACAAGCGAGAGAGAGCGCACCGGTACTGGAGATCGTTGTTGTTAGCTTCTGGTGCTAGCGAGCTACGCTAACAGATATAAGGAGTTTTTTCAACAACAAAGTGGAGGAGAGTCCTCTCCTGTCAGACTGAGAGACTCAGTGAGCTAAAGGACTCTCAGTGTTATCTCAGTGGGTCTCAAACGTTTTGGTCACCATTAATGTAAACAATTATTTCCTAGGCACACGTTTATATGATCATTATAGTTATACAAAAATAAGAGAATAAATGAAAAACAGGTATGAAATACTATATGAGAGTAAAAAAAGAATAAAGTTTAAAAGGGTGATTTGTAAAATATCCATAAAGAAAAAGTAAATCTGTTTACAGTTCATATGGGTGTTGAGAGAGGTATCCATAGATCTCTTCATGTTGCTCTCAAAGTGCATCAGATTGATGCATTTAACTTCAATATTTAAAAATAAATCTTCCCGGGGGAGCTTGCCCTCGGACCCCCCTAGAGGAGGTGAGGACCCCCCTATGTGAGGTCCACACACCACCTGTAAAAATAGCACTTTACCCCTGCTTACACCTATATGCCGTGAGCTGATTATCGAGCCTTCATGGTAACAGTCACACTGTGTATATGCGTGTGGGGAGTGTTGCAGTAGAACATTCCACTGTAGCGACCGGTACATTAATGGGAAACCCTAAATGTTTGAGCACCCTCTATGAAACGTCAAGCTACCCCACAGCACCCCCAAAATAAATCTCTGGCGCCGCTACTGAGCCTGACTATTTGTGTTGGGGGGGCCCGACTTTTTTTTTTCTCCAAAGGGGGGGCCTGACAGAAAAAGTTTGAGAACCACTGTTGTAAACTAACCTGTGTAAAAGTTTCTCGAATAAATGTAATTTTTTTTGGTGGAAGAAGCATGTATCATTTTTTTACCCTGCCCCTCAAAGAATCGGAATTGAGAACCGTTAAGAACCGGAATCGAAAAGAAGAATCGGAATCAGAATCGTGGAAATTCAAACGATACCCAACCCTAACTGTAGTGGTAACCGGTAATCCTCATTTTGTGTAGCCCTAGAACCTTGTGGAGAAAAGACTGTGATATTGGTTAAAATAAACATATCAACCGCCATAACTCACCAGTAATTGAGGGATGGGTGCTCCTGTAACACTCTGGTGGGCAGAACTGGGAACTGCTTCAGGTGAGATCTGGCAGCCTCAGCACTGGAAAACAAGCATACACAACTTGAATATAGAACATGTATTCATTCATAATAACAAGAGTCCTTTATAGTTACACATCTATGCTTTAGATACGAGAGAGAGCAAAGCACCAACATGACACTGTTGATTGATGAGACAAGTTATCACTGTCCAATGACTAACTCCTACACATCCTTTACACAAAGTCAGTGGTTATGTCCTGAAAAACAGAAACAAATATGACCCAAAACGTAAAGCACTACGTCGTTGTTTCACTGCCGGTTGCTCCATACTAACATGTGGACCTTAAGGAAAGGGAGATATATTAAAACAAGTATATCAACCTCAAAGTCTGAAGCTGTACAAAGAACCTTTCTCCACGTGTTTGGACTTTCACAGTGTGGTTTGAATTTCTATCTTAAGGCATGGCAGCAATAACTCATGTTCGCAAACCTTTAGAAAAGGTGCAGTGGCAGGATTATATTTTCATCTTTCTTATCTATAAAAATGTGTACTGCTTGCCAAAACTAAGCTTGAGTTTCATTCATGTCTTGCCAGATTTAATTTACAAAGCCCACGTAGATCCTTTAAGCAGTACAGAGCCCTTTAAGGGACTTGGCAAAACATGTTTTAAAAAACACCAAAAGCCCATTTCATGCAGGTTCTCAACAGTCATGCACACTGCAGGTAAACTACTTCATATTGATTGACTTTCACAGATAAGCTAATGATCCCACGGCAGAAGCAACAGGTTTGTTTAACCAACAAGCCAAACATGTTAAGAAAAAGGCTTCAAGTTAAAAAGAAAAAAAAACCCAGCCGTGTTATCTGTACGGACAAACTGTGGAGTTTGTTACTGTCAAGGTCTATGATAGTGAACTATGAGTCACTCCAACATCATGTGGGAGGGAGGACTAGGTCTACAGTTTCTCTGGACAAAAAGGGCTCTGGCTTTGAGGGCCAGTCCACCAGAGAACTGAACAAAAGCCATTCACAAGCACTTGGCAGCCTCTCCCCGTGTTGAAAAGTATTGTACGAGCACCGGTGCTGCTGCAAAACAGCCCGTGGCCTCTGAGACAGAAGTCCAAATGTGTAGGTCAACAACACAAAATACACAACATGATATACAATATTAGATCATCCCCAAGTATTGTGTCAGCTAGAACAATAGAGTAGGGCGGGGATGACAGATTTTTGTAGAGCAACCTGGAAGTTAGCATGGCAAAGGGCTCCCTCTACAAAAGTAATTGGGATTTTTCCATTGGATTTTGGTTTCTTAAGCAAAAAACACAAGATCTTTGGGATACTTGCATGTTTTGTTCAGCAGGATTATCTCCACAATGTAATACCACTATAAGTGTTGAAGACCAAATGCAATCGCAAAAGTTCAAAAGCTAACAATAGCCTAAAAACAAACCACATTAGTCGTACTGTATGGCACATCACCACCGGTAGGCTAAAGGTGGATACTGCTTGGCGTGAAGTAGTATCATTGTTCACTTGTTAATAACTGCTGTCATTATTAACTTATATATTTTATGTTGTCGAACAATTTCAAATGAATGCTTCAGCTTGTACTAAACAGTCTATATCATGAAAATTGTAAAAAAAAAAACTGTTGAATTCAAGTGTGTTAAAATGCAGATGACTCAGTCCTGCACCACTCTATAAAGCCAACATAACAATCAGTTGATTCTAGGTCAATGGCCATTTGACCTTGAACATCCATTTTTGCCTCCTTCTTTAACAGATGATTGGAGTTTAACAGCCGCTGACATGGGGGGACATGGCCATGATGATCCAGTTATGTGAACCAGCTTACTAAACAAAAACACGGGTAGAGGCACTTGAATCACTCTTCCCTGTAGCTACCTCTCCTAGGTTGACTGAGTTTTGCTGCCACGGCACTTCGCTGTGTGTTTGATGGCATACATTTTATGGGGAGCTGGGGCCCGGTGTTGTCGGGGTGATCTACTCCACAGCCGCGCTGCCCTGTCAGCAATCTGGAATTCATTACTACGTCTGTTATCTCTCCACAGCCTGCAGCGCGGGGGCAATTCCTACACCCGGTGCAGCCCAGCCCAGCGTACCCAGCGTGGGGAGAGATAATACTCATGCGTCAGCTATTCCACTACGCTGAGACTGTGTGGAGGGAACACAATGAGAGGGCCTGTTGCTGTGAATGAACCACTAACTACAGGCTGCACCTGCAAATAGAACTAAGGACTAAAACCGTCTGGGTGTAATATTCTTTCCGTGGGTAAGATTCAAACACAAATGATAATGTGTTAATCAAAGTTGGTTCAAATTGTATGGCAGTTATTTATACAATATGTTATTTTCTGCCGGGAGGGATCTCTTAATCAAAACCATAACAAAAGACAGGGTTTGCTGGTATTGGGAAGTAGCGTGGGATCATGGGAGTTTGACATTGAAGTCAAGATATCCCAGTTGTTGTATCATCCGTTGTTCGGGGGGTTTAACCAGATTATTTGACCATAACAAACGGTCCAGGTCACACTGTTAAAAACAGTAACTTATACACTCAAATATTTACACACTTAACTATTGTATTGTAAAAATGTGGCTTAATACTGGATAAAAGGGTGACAACAAAAACAACCCAGAAAAGGACTTTTAACCTCGATGAAATTGACAGAATTCGCTGGGTTTGAAAATGATTAAATACATTTGGGATAATGTGAGTAATCAACATATATAACATGCCTTTAAAGCTAGGTTTGGTCATATATTTTAGAAACACTAGTTATAATTTGTTGAAATACTCTTAACATGCAGACAGCAATAAATAAATCAATAACTTTGACAATTTTTTTGGGGAAAAAAGACAAAAACCTGGTATCACTGCAGTCATATGTAAGAGGGCTGACCTGCCTGTGTCCTAAGCGGTACTTACAGTAGCCATGGTCATTGTTTGCATTCATTGTGGTTATTTTTGGCGTTAGAGGGAGGCCTAAAGAGACGGGCACTCAGTGGTGCCAACTTGGTGACGTTCTCGCAAGATTAAGCGCCTTATGGAAATAGTACTGTCAATTACTTTCGTTAAAAAAAAAAAAAAGAGTGAGCAACAGGGCGCTGGGTTTCCGATTTGAATAATTAAAAAAATCTATCTTACTGTTTTTAGCTTCTTCAATGTTACCTTCCCAAGCTGTAAAATACAGTGGTGTAGACACTGTCTGTATCTCTTAAACTGCTAAAGACATAGTTAAGGACATGGATCTATAGAGTGATTTCCTACCGTTTTCTACAATCCCTTTAACCAACCTCTTGAGAGCAGTTGGAACTTGTTACAGTCAGCTATGGATCAAACCTCCAGGTGGTGTGAATCAGTACGGTAAGAACAAAATGCAATGCAAAACTGACATAGCAAAAGAAAAAACTGACACAAGTACAATTGGAAACCCGATGGTGCATTAATTCAATGCACAGCAGGGGGTTGGTCCACACCGCCTCGACAACAGTGAGTCCTCCTGACGCCAGGTTGTCTGCCATTGGACAGTGGGTCTGGCTCATCCCTCTTAGGCAGCTGGCTGGAGGAGGAGGTCTCCCTAACTCCTCCACAGCTAATCTCGCAGCTCCAGGGCCCTTTTGCTCATACAGTGCTGAGACATTTATATAATATGCTTTATGAGGGGAATTACAGGGCCTGTACTCTTAGAGAAGAAGGTATAAAGCACATTAATGAAACACTGCTTCAGGACAGCAGGGGATGCATCACTTCAATAGAATAGTGCTAGATTTGTGTGCTACAATCAAGTGAGAGAAGAGAAGTTTGAGGTAAACAACTTAACTATGTTTTATTAAATGTGTCACAGCCTAACATCTAAATCAGAATGTGCAGGAGAAAGTAGTATCTGTGCAAAGAAAGATATTTTTGGCACACTCCTATTCTCGCCGATTCTTCCAGATTTGTTGGCAGGTCGTCTTTTACTGTGCTTTCAGAATCAGTACAAAGTGCAGCCCATCCCCACTCCCACATGAGATGAAGGTTCAGACCACACACTGCACTTCACACTGAAGTAGTTTGTAATAAAAACACCGAGGAGGCATAAATCTGCACCAATGCTGCAATGAGGAATAATGAGCATTTATCAGGTCAATCATGCCTGTGTAGATAATGGGCGCTTTAAGAGCTTGAGAAAGTGCAGCCAAGTTTTTTGGAACAGAACAAAGGCAATGATTTTGACAAGGGCTCAAACTGCATTTTCAGCATTGCTTGTATCGCCATACAAACAGTACACGTGCAATTCCTTACAGAGCACACATCTTTGTTTTAACATAATGGACAGGGAGGCCTTTAGAGGTGACGCTCTGGGACAACACACAGGTTGTGCAGCTTAGTCACTCACTCAAAGTGCTTTTTTTCAACTTATCACAGCCAATGCCCTTCACTCCTACGGCTGACAAAAAAACACACACCTTATCAGCAGGTCAAGCCTCTGAAAGCAAACCCCACTATGAAAACATGAGCAGAACAGACTATCTAAGTTTTGTATCAGTGTCATGGACCAAATCTTCTACACACAATGTCCGTGCATTTGTACAAACTGTTCATAACATGTACTAGGAGATGACACAATCACAACATGTCAGAAAAACAACTTGTTGCAAGTGTAAACATATTGCATGTACCAAAAGAACAGCCAAGAGATTTTAAAAGACAATGTTTGGCAGCAAGCCAGCAGGGGGTTCAGGCCAATGTCACAAGAACAAACCAAGGAAATTATTAACTAAAGGAAGTATAGCATAACACAAAATCTAAACCGAGTCAAGTTGAACATTAACAGGCTATATACAGTCCTCATTTGTACACTGAGCACTAACCAAACAACTTGACACACCAGGCCCTGCAGCATTAAAACTAATATTGAAACACACACTAAACTTTACAAATAGGTAACAGATGCCTGTGTTAACCAAAACAGCAACAATATCAACATGTAAGTACATATAGCTTTTAAAATAATAATCTTTACATGTACAGGTGTTTTGTTTTAACTACTTTCAAGCCAATGTATCCTGAATTTCTCCCTCAAAACATGTTTTAAATGACAATACAGCTTTGCACATTTCTACATTTATTTCGTTAAAAGGGTTTTAGGTTATACATTTGAAAACGTCTTACCTTGTGTATTCTCCTTTAGCCTCCTTAAAAAGAAGGAAATAATACAGTTAGTAAAAGCACGAAGGGAAAATGCAATACGTATTAATTGATTTAACGTAACTGTTATGCTAGTGTTAGCCAGAGCCCTTTATCTCTCTAGGGCTCTGGTGTTAGCTACCTGAACTATCTGCTACAATGGTAACTTTACACGATAAAACATCAAAACATTTAGTTTGACCAAATGTTAATTTATCTAGTACTGGAGATAACACTAACTCAACAAAACTGGCACATTTAAAAGCACATTTTAATTATACAAGAGACAGTTTCTTAAATAATAGCTCCGACCTAAGCACCCTCAGGAGAGACAACTGTTTTCAAATATGACCAACCGTCTCCATTCATGTTGTGGGTGAGTGACAAACATTTCAGTGCAGAAAGCCTGCGATAAACTCCTTCTTACCTGCAATGCGAATGCGGCTAACTTGAAAACATTTTCACTCTCCACTTCGATGGTCCCCTGTTGTAAAAAATGTTGAAAATTAACGGTGTCTTTTCGTTAAAACCATGCACACACAAAGTGCAGCCCGTCCGAAACACTTGACTTGAAAATCCTCCTGTCCCGTACCTCGTCCCACCGTTACCGACCGAACCACTGCCGCACACACAATACAGTGTGTGTGGAACTATCCCTGAAGTGTGTTTACTGCTGTTCTTTCAGCGCCTGAGTTAGCCTTAATTTTCTACAGGCGACAAAACACACACTGGTCCCCAGTAAGACTAGTTGAAGGTCCTGCCTGGAGTTACAGCCCCCTCTGTAAAGTGGTACGGTCTGAAAGCAGGTTCAACAGTCTCCGTCTCCCATGGTGACCAGCCAGCTCTCCCCGCGAAAAAAAAGCTGCACTGCAACGTCTAATCATATGCTGCATTCAAGTGCTCCTCGTACGGTTCCAAATCCACATACAGCAACTACCTTCCTAGAACTGTATCGATATGGCTGGTACATAGACTGTATAAAGGGCTGGTACCACACTTTGTCCTTTATTTGAATTTTAGCCAAAATTACACAAGTGACTGTATTACGTTACTTTTCTTACAGTCCGTTATAATATTGTGTGTTACCATACTAAAATATCGTTGTATTATTTCACTTTGAACTATGTTATCTAATTGTTTTGAGGAAACACTTGCTACAAGACTCATGTGAGGATTTACTTTGCTTTAAAAGCTACAAAATCTACTTAAATCAAAACAAAAATACCCCACCTTATCCTGATAATAGCCTTAACCTGTAACTTTTCAAAACTCTGTAAGTGTTGAGAAATACTTTTGAAGGAAATACTAACAGTTGCTGATCAAACAATAACACAATTGCTTGCATGACCGTATGAATCATAAGTTTGCGTAAAAGTGTGACATTTCAAACAGCACTTGAACGCAGCAGTAAGAGCAACAGCAGTGTGCGTCAAGAGTTTCAAAAAATGTAAATGTTGTGACATCACATTACTGAGACACTTATTTTTTTCAATAAACAGTATGGTATGAATCATTTATATATAAACACAACAAAAATATCCAACATATTGATCATCTGACCATCAGCCCCAAGTTTAAAGAAATCTGTTGCCCATGAATCTGTAAATGAAGACATTTTTCCTTTCAATTGTTGGATTCTAGACATCTTATCATACTATCAACTAAGGTGTTTAATGATCTGGAACTGAAGGATATACAACATTGAATTACTAGGATATAAACATAAATATATGCTTAAATAATGCTTAAAACACTTACATTAGACACTAAAGATTTAGCGTTCAGGAAGAAGAGCTCCACTGTTGCGTTGTCTTTCAAGTAGGTGATCTTCTCAATGTAAAATCTGAGAAGAAATGTATAGGTAAATACATTTAGCATTTAATCAGAGACTTAATAGTAGTGAAAGAGTTTATCAATCACATAAAAAGCATGTGTAAACTGTTGCATCGGTGCCACCTGCTGGTCAGGACATGCCTTGGAGGCCATAAAGCTCTCAACACACAAACCATATTCTTCTTATTAGGCCTCTCCTTTCTTCGGTATAGGCTGACGTTACTAATAAAGCACAGCAGTATTCAACATTTGGCAAGCTTTTACAGTAAAAGCACTCACCTCACGAGGAATTTGAGTTCCAAAGGGCCCGAAGTCTTGGAGAAGTCATGATCGAGGACTTTACGATCCAGCTGGAGCCAGTTATTCTGGCCCCTGTTCAGGGAAAGAGGAACAAATCATGTGTTGAAATACTGCTATCGTAAAGGCTTCTGTAAAAAAGGTTCTTAATCAACCAACCTCTTTCATTTAAAGAAAATGTACTGTATACAAAAACAAACACACACTGCTAAATGTTTTGTCTGTAAAAAGCCTGTAAGAGTAGGAAATGTACTTACGTGTCATCTATGTAGCTCAACCCAAAGTATTCCTTCTCCTTCAGGGTAAAATGTGAAGCCACCAAATCTAACAGCTCACGGGACAACAGCTTGGGCTGTAAAGTTTAGATTAAAAACACAGACATTCAGTCAAGATTAGAGCTAAAACTAACAATTATCTTTCTAGATTAATTGCTGACTTTTATGGTCTATAAATTGTCAGAAAATAGTGATAAATGTCCATCCTATTTTCTCAAAGTCCAAAATGATGTCTTTATATATATGTATCTTGTTTTTCAAGTTCATTTATTTTTGCATTTTACTTGCACCATTGTGTCACCTTGTCTTTTTCTATGACTTGATGTCTTAATTATTGTATTTTGCACTGTTGGAAGAGCCTAGGATTTAATATCTTCATTGCCAACAACTACGCTGTATTGTGCATATGAGCATAAAACCTTTGAGCCTTTAAATATTTTGAATCCAAACCCCAAAGATAGTAAGTGTAATATGATATAGAACAGAGAAAAGCAGGGCATCTTCCTATTTGATGGGCTAAAACAGCACTTTCTCCCATCTTGTATGAAAAATCACTTTAACGATGAATCTGTTATCAAAAGAATTGATGATTATTTCTTCTGTAATGACTTATCAATTGGTCGACTAATTGATTTAGCTTTAGTGTAGATCATTATTAAACTAAGCGGTGTGTGAGACACTGTGAAACAGTGACAAAAGGTAGCCTTAATTTGACGAGGAATCGAAGCAAAATAGGAACCACAGGATATTCGATTAGGACTTCTTTACAATAATTAACTACGGACATAATTAAATCCTCCAAAATGTCAGCGCATGACTATAATCTCACAGGTCTACAGCCTATAGTTTGTGCCTGAGGAGGCGAGCAGAAAGTGTCCTCTACCTGAACCAGCAGCTCCAGCTTCCTGTCATCGAGGAGGTGAACCTGACACTGACGGCCCTCTGTCATCTGCAGGAGAAAACACACGAGACATGACAACACAGCCACTACACAAACACACTATCTCTCCTCCTCCACCTCCACTCAAAGCTGCTCTTCCACTATTTCAGCCCAGGGGATAAACACATTTTTCTCTCGAGTGACTCACCTGAATGTCATGTTTGCCTTTGTGCAGAATGAATAGGTAAAAGGAGCCACCACCATCCCAAATATCAAAGTCATTTGCAAGATCCTCATCATTATCAGTGTAAAGTGTATACAACTAGATATTTCAACCGTAAATCTTTATAGGTGCACCATGAATCATAAAAATACTCTGAGTTCCTCCACACATGCTATTGTTTTTCTCTCCCACACATCCTTCCTCTGCAACAACACCGGTCTAAAGAAAATCCCTAATGTCAAATTCCCAAAGACAATGAAGTGCCACTGCATAGTTTAATTGAATTGCAGATGCATTGTCTAAGCTGATGAATGGCTTTAGGATTCATTCTGTTGCACTCAGCAGAACTGCCTTTCAATGCAGGATAAGGTTTAAATATTGTGGGGATGGATAATAGTTATATTTCAGTGTGTTAAACTTCTGCCAGCGTTTAGTCTCATATTCTGTATTTAAACATTTTGTATTCCTGTGTCTGAATTCTGATGACATGGTGTTTGTATCATCTGCTGTTAGTAAAGGGAATCTCTACTGTTTTGATTGTAAAGAAAGAACTGTAGCTTTACACAGTGTATGTCTTATAGTGAATGGCTTAAATACAGAGGTCGTGAGAGGTCAAGTTAGAAAAAAGAAATATGTTGATCTTTAATTAAAGGTGAGGTAGGTAATTCACTTCAGAAACACTTTTTGTTATATTCCATGGAATGCTTTTAACATCCCGATAGCAATGAATACATTCAATGCTTTGACAATAAATACATAAAAAAATGTGGAAGCTGTGGCGCTGTAAAAAGCACGACCAATCATCTGAGCCGGCCCGGCTAAAGTAACTGGATGGCCTACCTGCCTGTTAGCCTTCCATCTGTGCACAAACTTATCTCGTGCCCTCATTGGTCATGTGCGCGTTCGTGTGTGTTGGAGGAGGGGCTCTGTAAGGAAGTCTGAAGGAAGGGGCAGATTTTTTTCGGCTGCGTACTTTCAAATTATTGCGCACTTGAGCTGGTTTCTCCATTCTTACCTACCCTACCTTTAAGTCTGATCTAAATTGGTTTTCTTTCCTGTGTTTATGAGTTAACAACCAGTACAAAAAAACGTGTGTAATTCTTGGTTATATTTCAAAACAGGTCAAAAAAAATGTTGGTTAGGTTTTCTTTTGCCAAGATCGTTTTGTCTTTGTTTTTGTAATTACTCATTTTGGCCACAGGAAGGTGAACATTTCATGTTTTAAAGGCTTCTTTAAAGAAGTCACATTAATTCAACATAACTGGCTTACACAAAAGATATACTTTGATATAGTGGAGGTAACGAAAAAGAGACAGCAGTGCATGCCAGAACCATTAAGTAAACCAAAAGCACCCATTTCCACCAGGACTGTTAGATCGCTTTTACAAACAAAAACTTATTTCATAAGAAAAGTATTGGGAAGATGCTTTATGATCATCTTCCTGGCAATAATCACTGTTATTATGTAGTTTTCTACATTGTTTCTTCATAATCTACTAATGGTTATTCCTGACTGTTTTCAACAGCTTCATTATGTTCAGTTACCATCTTAAATTGCAGCTACTTAATATTTCACAATGAATAGGCATTTTTTGTTTGAATCTTTAGTAACATGTGCTTGCCTCTTTATGTCGTATTTTAAGACTACTCTTTTTAGTACAGATTTCATGGAGAAGATGCAGATATATTCGATTACACTGAAACTTCTGAAATACCTCAAGCATTGAACTTAAATGACTGTGTTTGTTGCCTGGCTGCTCTTTGCTACTCTTTTTTGTTCAGTTAAACACATGTGGCATCCAAGTGTTTGGCTCCTATGTTGGAAAGTGAGGGTCACGCTAACGTCCAGCAAGAAGACGCCCTCTGGCTCCGAGTGTAAAACGTCACTCTTCTAGGACACATTGTTCTGTGCACCACAACAGAGCTGTCGTTCCACTTTATACGGCTCAAGTTGCTTTTTCACTTTGTTGTTTTTCAACGCCTTCAAACACAGTGAGATTTTAGGGTCTGCGGCTCAAAATGTACTTCTTAACAAATGTTTTAATATGCAGTCACGCTAACTCGCTAACTTTTCATCTTAAGCCCCACATTTCACTACAATACCATCTTAGAGGCCCTTCAAAGGAAAGACTAACCCTGACCAATAAAAATAATAAAACAACTGAAGCTCAAGCTAACCTCAATATAAACCACACCTGGATTTAATGTATCATGACATGCAACATAACTATGGCAACACATAGTTTAATCTGGGATTCATGATTGAATTAACCCTTTCATGAATTGTTGTGTCTGTCCAGGGCACAAGCCTTTCCCATTTATCAATGCTGCATTGTTGCAGGGCAATGACATCAAAACATAAATGGACAAAGGCCTTTAGTTAACAGTCAAGCCCACAGCCAGCCATTGAGTGTAAGATTTAACACTAAAATATATGCATGCTACTTCAAATCCAAGTGCTTTCACCTGAATGCTCAAGGACTTTTCACCTAGGATTTAGTGCATCTTGTGATGTAGATATATTGTAGAATATTCACAATTAACTTAACAACAAAGAACTGGCAACACTTCAAAGACAGTTTCTATATTTCAGAGGCTGACAGATCACTGCACTCAGTCCCAGAAGAGAGGACCTGAGCTTCAGAGAGGACCTGAGCTTCAGAGAGGACCTGAGCTTCAGAGCGAGGTCCCAGATGTTAAAGGAAAGGTCATCACAGTGACAGGGAGGTCGTCCCCCTTAAGCTCTGTCATTACGGCCCTGATGGTGCCCCCTTCACATGACCCCCAGCCCACTGACCTGACCAGGATAAACTGGGGCCATCATGCATTTCTACTGCCTTATGAAGCAATAGGTAGACCTGGTTAAAAAGGTAATGAAGCTACAAAATGAATGTAGTGGTTGCATGTTAATGCATCTGTAATAAGGATCCAGCAATAACATATAACACAAACAGGAGCCTTTCTGCACACTCAGTACTTTCACTTTGATTATTGAAGGCAAGACCTAACTTTCTAAATCACTAAATTCTCATTCTGAAACGGGAAGAAGGGAAAACGGATAAAAGGGATCTGATATTTGTGCTTCTTCTTACACCTCATTTCAAGATAACACCAGAGACTCAAAGGGCTGTTCAAGGAGTTTCAGGTGTTGAATGTAGTTTTCACAGAAGAGATTTAGGGCCAGCCATCCGATATGGAGAATAATGTCTAATTTGTTGAAGCTAGTGATTCAATTTGTTTTGCAAATTATCGACATTTCGACATAATCTCAAAGTAAAAAAATCCTCCTCTTGTTTATTGTCCTTATGCCTAGCCCATTCATTCGTTCATAGCATTGCAGATCCAAATAACTATCTTAATGTAAATGTTCTCAAGTGTCACCAGCTATTTTTAATTTATACTTTATCTTTGTATTTGTATAGGTAAATAATGGGGGTAAATATAGCTCATAGCCCCTAATACATTTTCACATAGCAATACACTCAGACAAAAAAAAAAAATCAAACTAGAGAAACCTGACCATTTTCAAGTAGAGTTAACCCAACAGACAGCGTTCAGGTGTTCCAACAATGCATTTCAAAGACAACTTTGAAAACTTTCTCCTCATCAGCCAGACGGAGAGATCAAACGGCCGGTCATGCTGCTTTCTAATGACTGCCATATGCTGAGGGAGAGACCCTTGTTAAAACACAGGCTCTTGGTGAGTCACAGAGCCTGTGTCTCCTCACATCCACACAATAAACACATGCATACACTAATGAGCCAGATGAGAATAAAGCACTGACTCAGATTATAAGTAATCCAATCCATAAAAGTTCAATTCAAGAGATCCATCTCGCACTCAGTAATGAATCCAACATGCAGCCAATAAAGCAAACAAATAAAAACCGCTGTATTCAAACTATTTATACAGAATGATTTCCGCTGCCATGGCTCAAGGAGCTGTCATACCTGGTAGCATTTCCCAATCGTGAACCAGGCATCTAGGAAGCGCCTGCAGGGCATCAGCCCGCTGTTGTACCAGCTCCTCAGTGTCTGATGTGCCATGCTCCAGACAAGCTGACTGCCCGATGCCACCAGGTCTTCCATCCCACGTATGATGCGCACAGCCATGGTTTTAATGCCTTTTCCTACAGCTGCTGATGACGCATCAGAACCGGGAGAAATGTGCAGACTACTTTGTTGTGCTCAAGCTGAAAGAAGCATGTACTCTGACACACACACAGTGTCCTTACTATGTTTCCCCGAGCTGATGTAATGTCAGTGAGAATCGGTGCTCTGGAGAGGCTGGAGCGGAGCAGCGTGCCTCAGGCTCAGTGCTGGGCCCCGGTCCAAAACACTGCCTCATACAGTGCAAGGGAGGGCAGCACAGAACCACGAGGCTCTCCCCTCCCCTCCTCATAAACACATTTGTAAACAAACAGAAACAAACACAGACTGGCCACTCCAACTTTAAAATCACTTTCGAACACAGTAACATTGTGGTGAAAATGTTTTGTTTTTAGGCCATAAAATCAAGTTGCACCAAAATATGTTCCTTTACTTTTGCTCTACTAAGGGAAAATGACCTCATCTTTTATTTTATTGTTTCATTTCAGCATTTATTGTCTAAAACAATGGGTGTGGGAGCAATTTCCTGAGGAGACCAGACATCTCCACCCAGTATATTGTGCAGGAACAGTTAACTAAATAATTGGTCCTGTTAGGATCAACAGGGAGGGTAGAACTGACGGGGCAAAAACAAAAAATGCAACTGCAGGAGAAAAGATCTGGGGAAGGCTTTGATGTTCGAATGTAGACTCACAACCAGACGTCTTTGCTTTGCACAGCTGCAGTTATTAAGCAA